AACTAAGAGAAACGGACACTAAGAAAGAGAAGAAGTAAAAATATAAATCACACCTCAAAAGCTTATAGTTTAATTTTGTTTTGAGTTTATTTTAGACTCAAATAATAAGTTTTATTTCTAAATTGTGAAGAAGAGTATTTAAATAAATTTTTTAAACTAATATTTAATATATACTTATAAAATAATATTTTTGATATTAATTAAGATTTTTATTTATTGTTATTAATTTTTTCAAAGGCTTTTAAATATAAACAATACCAAATAGCCTCACATCAGTTTACCAAATTTTAAAAATTAAATTAATTACAACAAAAAAGACTATTCATGTATGAATTCATTGGAATAACCCAATAAATTTAAAGAGCATAAGAACTTAATTATGATATTTCTAGATCATAGACCAATTATGCTATTTTACGTAAATTAAACATAAAAATACTTCTGTTGTTATTGAATTGCCTTCAACTTGGAAGTTCAAATGTTAAACAAACCATTTCGGTTTCATTTCTATTTTTCTAAAAAAAAAAAGATACAAAAATTTCGAACTTGGAAGATTCAATTGACCCTACCGCCAATGATACAAGCATCGAAATGGACTTTTGCTCATTTCATTAAAAAATTTTATTTATCTATGATATATAGTATATACTCATATATTACCGTATAAATATTAACACATATTAACATTCATATAAGTGATGTTTAGGCTATACAAAAAGATAATTATTGTATTTATTGGTTGTTGACTATTTTAAAAATTAAAAATAAATAAAAATTAATTTAAAACAAATATTGATATGACATATAATTAATTTTTATTAATTTATGTTATATTCCTAGAAAAAATATTATAGAGTTCTATTATTATGTTGAGGCTAGTTAAGTCGGTGCTTAATTTTTTTGAATACTGATGCGATGAAGTAGTTTTTTTTTGTTGATTGTTAAAAATATCGATGATATTTTTGATATATATATGATAATACCTAATTATATAACTTCTTCTTTCTTCTTCTTTGTTTGATCAAACATGAGTAAGTGTGTAAAACACTCTTAATCAATAGTGTCTGTAACCAATTGGTTGTATGTATGCGGGTGCACCTGAGTTGATGATTCATCACCTTGACTCTATTTTACCTGTGAGCAGTTTAAAGTCACACTAAGAATAACTAAAATTCCCATCTTTATGAAATGATGGATCCGATGTCTTTGTATCTGCCTAAGTTTATCACGTTTCGCTGTGTTTTTAGATTGTTGAATGTTGAGTTATTGTGACTGTCAATTATGTTGAACAGTTTCAGTGCACGATCTTTAATATATTTTTCGACTGAATCGCCTCTAAGATGTCTAAGGAAATCTACTCCTCTTATGTACCACCGTGGGTTAACCAATTTTCTTAAGGCGATATTTTGCCGTCTTTGAAGAATTTTTAATGTGGAATTTGGTGCTTGGCAGAACGCAATACTATCATAGAGTGGCCCTGGTTTTATAATCTGCTTGCATATGTTGATTCTATTCTTTATATTAAGCTTTTTTCTGTTGAAGAGCGAGTTAAAGGAGTGCAATATTTAGGCAGCTTGAATTGTGCCTTCCAGGAATGCTTGTTGTCCAAGGTTATGCCTATGTATTTGACAGTATAGGCCCGTTCTATTTCTTGTTCTTCTACCTTTAGTCAGCAATGGATTAACGAAAAAATTAGTAAAATGTTAGAAAAAATGTTTTTTTAATATCTATACTTTCAAATGATCGAAAAATTACTATATCATGATTAATTATAATTACTGCTCTGAAACCTTTTCAAAGTTGTTACAATCGTATCTTTTATTATATTCTCTGTAATAAGAGCTGCGTTTAGTTTTGTTAATAAGTTATTTAGTTGATTTTTTAGAAGTATACCTTGAAAGCCAGCAGTTATTGGTATAAATAACTTTTACCAATGGATGAATTAAATATCCATTTTTCAATTTTTTATATATTCTTTATATATATATATATATATATATATATATATTATATATGCTTTATATATATTTTTTATATATATGCTTTATATATTCTATATTTTTCTAATATAATTATATTTTCTAAATACTGTCTGTATTTTTACAGACACTTTATTTAATTAGCTGCATAAAAACTATCGATATCGATAACTATGGTTTGACAGCATAAACTTTAAACTTTGTTGGCATTTCTGTTCAATAAGGTTTGGGCAATTTATCATGAATCCTTTAACGCTAGGACAATGTTTCCAAATTGTGGAAATTTATAAGAAAACCGTTTTGAATGTACAAATCCTTGTAATAATGGATAGAAAAGAAAAGGTCAAGATAACATCAGCCAGAGGCATTTATAAAGCTAAAAGTCTACTCAAAGCTTATGTTGGAGATATCGTCGAGTATGTTAAAGAAGGGGCCTTCATGAACTTAAGCCAAGTTTTGTTTAAGCCTGGACATAGACACAGCAGGTATTCTGGTGTCCTTTCTTCGAGAGCTAGTAGACACGCATAACAGGAGATACCACAGGGTAGGCCAAGCCTTGCTCTATGCCGCCCTGTGGTTCAGTGCCCTGTAAAGCCAGATATGCAGAAAACGTACTTTTATATAAAATATTTATTTTTATTTAATTTTTATCATTCCACAAGTGATGTGAATTCCTATCACATTACTTCAAGTGTAATAAAAATTTATTAACAATTTTTAAAATTAATATTCTTATAGTAAAATAATTAAGCAATACTTTCTTTGCACTGAAATTTTATTAACAGAAAAATTAGTAACTAAAAATGACATCACAGCTATTTTCTGAGCTAAAAGCTGCTACAATCGGTGATAATAAAAATAAAAATATTTTTATTGGACAAGTTGCAATTAATACAATTTCAATTATTATTGAGATGTTGTCACTGCAAATTTATCATAATTTCCTATCATTACAAAGTGCAATTGATGCAATTGATTTGATGTAATTTTCTGACAAGTGTGAGAAGCGCTTCGTATGCAACTCCCACTCAACAAATGAGAATTTAATGAATCTAAACGACTGAATGACGTGACTAAAAATTGCTACTTTAAGCGCCACTCAGATATATTTTCAATTGTTTATTTAACTGCAATTATTTAATAAATTTTTTTTTATTCATAAACATGAATGTTGTTTTTATTTTTGAATTCAATCATAGAATATACATAAATTCAATCACAAACCATTACAATGGTACGAAAACCGCGAATACTCGTTTGAAGTCAAGTTTAAGATTATGGATCATGGATGTATCTATATGAATATAGTAAACCATTGTCATCAAAAGAATTCATTCAATATAGCTATAAACATAATCGAAACAAATTAATGAATGAAATGCAACTCAATATTTTTTATGAATTAAATAGTTATATTGTATAGTTCACGTTTACATGAGCTTGTATATAATAATATTTATAGAAAAAAATATTTCTTGAAATATTTCCATATTACCAAGAATTCGTAATTGAAATGTTAAATATCCATATAATATTGAAGAAAAAATTTCTCTGCTATTAGCAGAACTTTTCACTGCTTCTATTTCAATTTTTACCACAATTTGGAGAGTTTATGGGACGATTCACAAAAATTAGATTTAAACACAGCAATACCCCCCAATAATGGGTTCTTGAACATATAGGATTTCAGCAAATTAAGCAAACCATTAAATTTGCTAGAAAATAATCTCTATATTCAACAATAAAACTTCAAGTACTTTTAAAGTACGGTTCAATATAGATGAACCGGAGTATCAATGAGAGGTTAAGATGAGGAGTAGTGCTATAAGGCCAATAAGGAAAAAAGAAAGTCATAGTCTTAAAATTTGAAACAATTTAGATTACTTTTAGGCAACTATATTACCAGAACCGGAGTATAGATAATAAATATTGATAAGGAGTATAAATGACGAGTATTAATGAGGATTGTAATTGAGGAGTATAGAAAATAGTGCTAAAGAACCAATAAAGAGAAAAGGAAGTCATAGTCTTACTTGTTAAAAACAATATAGATTACTTTTAGGCAACTATAATAGTGAAACCGGAGAACTGATGAGTAGTATAGATGAGGAGTATAGAAAATAGTGCTAAAGAACCAATAAGGAAATAAAAGCTCATAGCCTTACATGTTAGAAACAATTTAGATTACTTTCAGACAACTATAACAGCTGAGAATATAAATTACTCTTTCCTTATAAAAAAATAAATTAATAATGATAGCCCGTAACTCAGTTCAATGGCTACTATAAGCTCAATATATATCGTTATAGATTATGATTTGAAGTAATTGAGTCAGCTGCAACAAAATGATGCATTGATATACAAAATACAAAAACATTAGAGATCGTAGTTTATGTCTTCATAGGTAGAAAACGTCTATATTAAGTAATTATATGATACTTTAATCCACTAAAACCAACTTTTAAGATTTGTAAAAATATAAACATTACTTAAACCATAAATATCAGTTATACTGTAAATACTTTTCCGATTGATTGTTTGCAAAAATAAAGAAGTCTGAGAGAATGAAATATATGCATAGAAAGTATTTTTAGATGTTGCCGTCCTCCAAACTAAAAGAACATAATCTATTGTAAGAAGAAAAGGGGTGTTTGAAAAGATATTAAAGAATTCTTATAGAGGTTACCATAATACATCTTTCAACCACTGTACTCTACTTATCTCATATTAATGTTACACATTTTCTTCTATTATAAAACATTTTTTAGATATTTACATTGTATAAATTCCCGTTACTTTTTAAACAAAATATATTAATACTACCGATCAAATTAATGCCATATCAAATTGACACAATAAATAAAAAAAAATTAATTTTTTACTAATGTTTTTAACAATTACTTTTATAATATAAGTTTATAATGTTACTATTCATGTTATTAAAGACGCATATTCGGTTTTGTATATGTTGTAAATATATTTTAAATAATATATAGAAAACTTAAACAAATTAACTGAAAATTTAAATATTTTGTGTAATTACGATTTAACAACCAACACAGAAAGAAAAACATCTTTTCTGGCACCTCTTAATATCCTGGCTTTGCTTAATCTGAAAAACAAGAAAAGGATTAATTAGTTCTTATTTTACAACCAACACAAGTGGAATATTATTATGCTATAAGTTTAGTTGATCTAATAGTATAGAGTATATACTACACATAATAGAGAGGATTAATATGCTTACAAGTGATATCGGAAACAGGGACATTTAATAACGGATTATAAAGATTGTCCAGACGTTTGGTAATTTGGCAGTTGTATTCTTATAAGTACTCAATGTAAACATTTACGGTTTAGAATACATATACCATATATAGTATCATATTATATTATGATATTATTTAAAAATGATAAGATAATAGTAAAAATATTTATGATGTTCATCACTTTGGTGTAATCATGATAATGGGCTGAAAAAGATTAACTACGAGGTGTGTATCCTTTCCCGTATTCTCATAATAAGTGTAATAATATTCTCCAGATCTTTTCTTTTTTCCTGAAAATGTGGCATATATTTCATCGAAAGAATAGTCATTTTAACACATGTTTGATATATATAATTTATTATCACCCCTGAATCACCCAAAATGAACACTTGCGAATATCGTCAGATAAAAAGATTAATGACAAAATGTACAGATATCTTAATATTATCAATAATAATACAGTCGAATAAAGAAAAAGTATGATCTGAAAATGTTCTTTCTTTAATATATGTTAACCTATCTTTCCGAAGTATTAAATGTATAATAAGAAACTTTCAAAATTGACTAAAAAAGAAAACATAAAATTAATAGAAATATTAGAATTTTGAGTATTGTTAGCACTATGTAATATATAGAAATAAATACTATATAATATTTATATATATATAAAAATCCAAATCAATAAAAGCATTATAAGAAAACTCCTTATGTTGTCTTTAAAAAATCATGACTTTTAGATTCATAGAAATACTAGAAACCTTACTCTACAGGCGTTAGTAGAGACAAAATGAATATCTTAAAATCAAAATCAAAGTGATAATGAAATTTTTGTAGGCAATATAATGGATGATCTTAAAATAGTATTTGCAGAGAAATATTGAATTTCTATAATGCCTAAGAAATCAAAGTAATCTTGTTTACTCAATTTACATTATTTAAGAAAAAGAAAAATATACTATAAATTTTTTAAAATAGATATTAACTTTTATTAAATTTTCTATGCTTTATTAATATTCTCATAACTGCTTAAATTACACTTTAATCCACGCTTAGCTGATTTACAACTATTCTTAATAACTGGAAGATATATGAGTATCTCGTAAATATTACTATTTTCCAAATATTTAATTGTATATCTGCCAACACACACACCTAATACTTTTCGATTTAAATCTTCTAGATGATTTCTTAGTTCATCTTTACCGCAAAATAACAAGATTTAAACATTTTATAAATAATTACTATATTTCTATAGTGAAACAAAAATGATTTAATATTTTCATATCGCACATACAAAAGATATCAGTTACGAAACTAGAAATTCAACTGAAGCAAAATATTCGTAATTGCTACTACACCCATAAATGCAAATGTGGGTGACGTCATTAATTCATAACCGATTTATACTTGCCCGTTGTAGTGATGATTTGTAAAAGATACATAATTTCAATAATTCAAATTGTTGAATTTTATGTTTATTTTATTATTTTTATTACGAATTTTTCTTAAAGCATTCGTAAACAATTTAACCGGAATGTGTCAAGATAAAAAAATAAAAATATTTGTCAGCCACTCTCAGGCGTCTCAGGCGTACTTACGATTCGCCGCTGTATCTGTATCTGCCTCATTGACATTCAAAACAAATAGATTTTTTTATTGACCTAACACAACGAGTAGATATTATGGCGTAATTATATTTTTACAATATCTAAATATACCGGCTCTTATAAATGATGTATTTAAACACATTTCTAGATACATATTGTATTAAAAAATTTATTTGCACTACATTTAAACGGTAATGCATACTTGCTGTTGCTGTAATGTAGTTAAAAATATCTCGATGAATAAAATGTGTTCGTAATAAAATTGAAATACTTGTTATTTACCTTAAGATATGAAACAGAATTTTTGAAAATAAAAATGAACAAAATATCATGACGCATTAATAATGATGAAATGATTAATAAAATAAATTTAAGTAGAACAAATAATTTTACTTATACTTCTGTGGGTTTAAAGATTAAGTTTCAGTTTTATATATTAATATTTTTCCTTATAAATGGTGAAGTAACATAACATATGTATATATATATATTTTATCTCAATTTGTGTACCGCAGCTAAAGAAAGTGTTTAGGATACCATAAACAAACACATATTATTTTAGACAATTTAAGGCTTCACCCATAATTCTACATCCTTCTTTTTGAAAAATTTATAAGGATCTAACATAAATTAATATTACTAAAACTATATCCACGTCATCCCCTTTCTTCTGTCGTCTATATTACAATATAGATCTAACATAAATTAATATTACTAAAACTATAACCACGTTATCCCCTTTATTCTATCGTCTATATTACGAAATAGATCTAATAGAAATTAATATTACTAAAACTATATCCACATCATCCCCTTTATTCTGTCGTCTATATTACAATATAGATCTAACATAAATTAATATTACTAAAACTATATCCACGTCAACCCCTCTATTCTGTCGTCCATATTACAATATAGATCTAATATAAACTAACATTACTAAAACTATGTCCACGTCATTCCCTTTATTCTGTCGTCTATATTACAATATAGATCTAATATAAATTAATATTACTAAAACTATATCCACGTCATCCCCTTTATTCTGTCGTCTATATTACAATATAGATCTAACATAAATTAATAATACTAAAACTATAACCACGTCATCCCCTTTATTCTGTCGTCTATATTACAAAATAGATCTAATAGAAATTAATATTACTAAAACTATATACGCATCATCCCCTTTATTCTGTCGTCTATATTGCAATATTATTCTATCGTCTATATTACAATATACACTATAGAATAAAAAGGATGTCGTGGATATAGTTTTAGTAATATTAATTTATGTTAGATCTTGATGCTGATGAGGACTCTCAAAGAGAATTGAAATATAGAATATAATAAAAAACATTTAACTTTTAACAAATGGTCCCTATAGCCAGATTAAAAAATTATAAAAAAACCATTATAAAAAAAAACAGGTCGATAAATAAATTCAAAAAATGTTTAATTTAAAAAGATCATTAAAATAGACTCCTATTTTATGACCCTTTTCTTATTGCAGTCAATTTTTTATCTTCGATGCATCCATCTGAAGTTTTAAAGTATGTTATAGCAAAGTGATAAAATATATTTATTTTTTATTTGTCACATACTATAATAAAACATTTTCTTTAGTGTTAAACTACGTTTACATTATGCTCAATATCGTTAAAGTGGATGTCAACAAATTCAATATCCACTCTGCTAACAGGAAATATGGGTAATATGTTATATGGAAAATACGTTTTTTTGATATCTTTATGATGTGAGTTAACTCCTGCAACTGTAATATTTGGTAGTTCAGTATAGCTTTGTGAGTTTTTACAGTGTTATATAGTGACAGTCTCATTTGGGCATTCGACATATGCGTGCAAATTTAGCATACTAATAAATAATAACTACGTGACAAAAACTACTTTAAATGTCTTCAATTTATAATTTTTTTCTCCGAAACACCAATTTAAAATTTATTTACGAAATGCTTACTCATCAATTTTTATGAAAAAACTTATTAACTTAAAGCATAAATTTTGATACACGTCTTTAAAGGGTTAATATTTTCGAACCTTAAAATAAATTTTTTTTTAAAACTATCTGCATCTAATAAAAAAATTTTAGAACAGTTTGATATCATACTGTAAAAGACCACGAATACATGATTTTAGTAACATTCTTATAGAAAAAGTCTATATTTTCTATTACTCTGGGAATATCATCTCTGCCAATAACATAATGAGCAGTAATCTAAAAATCGTAGTCGTAAAAATCTTGGCAAAAACGAATGACCACATCTATAAAATAACACTACTCTATGAATCAGAAACAAGGTTGGTTAACTCAATTATTAAACGAGAAATTAAAAAGTTTATAATGACTTGAAAATGTGGTAACCCAAGAGTGCATCAAGTAAAGAGTTTGTACGTTTAACAAGTCTAGAGAATACCAACATTTAAATTAAAAAATTTGAATTGACTATGGTACAGCTTTTCTAACCTCTATAATAAAATATGTCATGCAAGGTTAGAATAGAACCCATAAGAAACCAAAAGACCAATAATTATCAGGAATCAGTTATGAACTGACTCAGTTACGAACTGATTCCAGAATCATCTACCATGAGCTGCTCCCCTATGGCAAAATTCTTAATTCGAAACTGTGAAAGTTCAACAATTATACCGTCTGAAGAAAGCAATTGCACAGAAACGGCCAGCTTTGGCCAATAGGAGAGGAATCAGAACGACGCTAAGCCACACATATCGATAATGACTCGCCAAAAGTTTCGAAATCTTAGTTGGGAAATTCTTATGCATCTCCGTTATAGTCTAGACCTTACACCAAGTGATTACTAACTGTTTTTGTCCATGACGAACGATCTTTCTGGTAAAAAAATCACTACAAGAGAGGATTGTGAAAATTGACTGTCTCAATTTTTTGCCAATAGGGACGAAGACTTCTATGAGAGAGGCATAGAGGAAATTACCTTGAAAATAGCAACAAGTTATCGAACAAAATGGTGCATAATTGACCTTAATTGGATCATTCTTACTATGGGAAATAAACTTTCAATTTTATGCAAAATTATGGGATTTATTGTAACTACATTTTAATCTATATACATAATACATATAACAAAATAATATACAAGTGAAAAAGTTTCTACAATATGTTTAAAAAAATTTTAGTATAAGTAACATCATATGATATTTGCAAATGTTAATGAATATGAATTCCCAAATATCAAAAAGTTCATTCCCATTAAAAACTATGAAGTGTGAATAGATGGGCTCCATACACTTCTGTCAGTGCTACGAAACTTTTTGGTACACTTCTCTCAAGTGTTTGCATATGAAAACCAAACTTTTCAGTAGAAAAGTTCAGTATTCATATTTTATTTGATGATACAAAGAGTTGCAAAAAATTTTCAAAATATCGACATTTTATTTAAAAACTAAAAATTTTTAATTTTAATAAAAATTCAATTTTTTACTATGCACGCATGGTTTAACAAATGAAATTGAAAAATCTGAATAATTCAACGCAAAAGTCTGAAAAATTGCAAAGTTCAACATTTTATGAGTATCTGAGGCTGCCTCGAGAAGATTCGTCGAGACAATACTCGTATAACTTGTAGTTTGTATGGAATAAATGTTGAAATAGTGTATATTTTCTTACAACACATGTGGCACGCATATTTTCAATGTTTATGAAACAATTCATTTATTTTTATTATATTGTATATTTTTACGTTTATGTTTATTTCCAAAAATTTCGAAAAAGAACAAAATCGCAACTAATTTTATAAATAATTAATACTAAATAGTTTATTTCAATACTTAACAGTTTATTTAAATACTAAAATATTCACATAAATAATTTTAGCTTGAGCCATTAATAGTTTATTAGTGTCTAAAAATGTTATACAATACATAACATATATAAAAAAATACTACTCCGATACAGGATACAGGCTCGTCGGGGAGGTATGCAGATCTGAGGTCAATTATTGCTTAGTTTTTATTTATGAATAATTAAATACAAGAATTATTTCCAAGACCACTGATGATGGGTATTTGGCAATACTCGAAACAGCTGTATGATCAGCCAAAAATTCAATTAATTAAAATAATATAAAATAAAATAAAATTTTTGTTGTTGTATTTCACTACTGTTCGAAAAAACCTCTTTATGAAATATAACAAGTTTGCTATTAAAAATAATAGTCACTTTGGTTAACGTTAAATTACAACTTATATTCACAAAATATAGGTCTCACCCGTGCGACTAGTGGAATAACATTAGCATGACTTTCTCAGCATTACATTCCTAGATTAGGTTCTGTACATAAGAAAGAACAAATCATGCAACAAATAATGCCTCTACGAACAGAATAGTATTGAAATTTAACAATTGAAAATAAAATTATAATTAATTAATTAATTCAGTTATTCTACAGCTGGTTTATGATTTCGTTCTAATATAAACACAGCAAGTAAAATTGTTAATAAAAACTTTCATAGCAAAAGTAAACTCCAGAAATATATGCGAATATAAAAAGTCAAGTATGGCTTTGGATCAGTTGGTTAAGGTGCGCTGATTCTGAGCTACACATTTGGCATCACCCGAGTTCGATTCCTGGTACTTGCAGTCACAAAAATAATTATTTACGAATAATTAAATACAAGAATTATTTCCAAGACCACTGATGATGGGTATTTGGCAATACTCGAAACAGCTGTATGGTCAGCCAAAAATTCAATTAATTAAAATAATATAAAATAAAAAAAAATTTTTTTGTTGTTGTATTTTCACTACTGTCACTACTGTGGCACTGGCTCAAATAGCTTCAACAGAAACGAAAAATTTTGAAAAAACTGTCCGTAATAGTTTCTACTTTACTTACAAAAACAGATTTTTTGATTTCTATATTTCTTAATTTTAAAAAATGTGGAACTAAAAATAATATCTATCAGTCATAGGAGTCCATTGTGCTCACGACAACAAACTCAATAAATCCATTTCAATAGAAAACTTTCCCACCGATTTTAAGACAGAAGTATATGCCATTCAAATATGCGCTATAGAAAGTTTTAAAGGCAATTACAAATCGATTATGATTAGATCCGATCAAAAAATACATAAAGGACAGAGCTGTGAAGCTATATGCGAAAACCAACAGGCTGCCCTACTTAGCACTATCTAATCTCAGAGTAATCACTAACCGCATGGGGCGGTACGGAATACTCAAATTAGTCAGTGAGATGGACGAGACTCTGCAGAATCCCCCAGCTATCATAGAGTAAAAGTGTAAAGATGCACTAACTCGGAAAAGGCAAACCAATAGGAAAACAAGGAAAGAGGAGAACTATTGAGACATCATAAAAATAATAGTGATATATATATTGCACATAACATTGTAGAAAACCTGAAGCTAATGTAACAGCAATCGCGGTAGAAACAGATATATTTATAGCTGTTGATTTCAAATAGTTACTATCAACAAATGAAAAGGAGTTAATTGAAATGTATGGAGAAACGAATCCAACTCAACGAAGATAATTTCTTAGTGTCTATTCTCAACACAAACTCTCTCTAAATTATCTAAAGTAGAGCTTTTAAACCAAATATTAGTACTTAGACATTTAAAGACAGAACGTTTACTTAATGTTTGAACATTCATACCTGAATGACACTTGGCAGACACCTTCTAATATTCTTACTTATCTGATCCTTCATTTAAATCTCACGTTCTGTTTCTTTACCTCTTTGATCTGTTCATGGAATATCATAGGCTTTCTGATTTTGAATAATTCTAAAGTGATGCCGTTTTGATTTTGATAAAGCTTTTGACAGCTTTGTAGATCTATAGACCAAAAAGGGAAAATTTAAAAGAAAATTTAATATTTATAAATATATTTGGCTTTAGACCTCTTAAATATTTATTCTTTTTCTATTACTTTTATATGTTGAATTATTGTAAGGTTAATAATTTTATTGTAAATATATGAAAGGTTTATATCATTAGTTTACAGTAACCCTAACTACTACCAGATATATATATGCGTATACCATATACATAAATATATTCATTTAAATTTACTTATAAATTTAAACACAACCTCTTAAAATTTCTTTCCTTACTTGTTAGGATTAACTTAGATAAACCAAAAATAATTTAATACCAGCAATTATAGTACCAATATTTTTATTTTTATTTTATACTGAGAAAACTGTATTTAAACTTTAATAAATGGAAGTCTTAAATGCTTCTGGAACTTAAGCTCTTCATATGATTTATCAATTACGAGCATAAGAATTAAAGACGTACATGGATCATTAATATTTTTCATGCGGTTTACTTTGCAGATACCTAACGAGGCATCCTGACAATTGGTACCCTCAGAGCTACACAAAACTCTTACTTCTGAACCAAGATGACTTAATCACTTTCAAAAAAAAAAACATCAAAAGACGTGTTTATGTAATCCGAAAACTTCAACTGCCTCAGCTTGAGCAGGATTTCTCGCGCTTTATTGGACATAAACTGCAAATTTAATTAAAGACCAAAAAAAGAAATAAAAAATAAAATAAAAAATAAAAAACGGAAAGAAGTGAATGTGGATTTGAATGAAATATATTTATCGTTCATTTGCCAGGCCTTGACACAAAAATCTCATTAAGATGTTTTTGACAGCTAAGCAGACAACATCAAAATAAACAGATCCTCAGTAGCGGAAGAGATAATTTATCTTTCAAAATTTACATTTCTATAATTTTTTTTTTTTTGATTATTAATTTATAAAAGTACTTAAGTAGTTAATAAAAAAAATTGTGTTTATTTTTCAAAAATAATTGACAAATTCGTAAAAATTTTGTCATTCCTTACTTGATTGATAAATAATTGTTTAGACGACTTGCTTTGAATAATAATTAAAAATTATTAATTGGAATAGATGGGTTTTTTTATGATTTTTAATGGACGAAATGGATCCTTTACTAATGTTAACATGACATAAAGTGTGAAACTTTTATTCCATATATATATAATTTAATGACATAATTGCAAGAAAGAAACTATTAAATTATTAATAAAATAATTAAAATTCTGGAGGGGTTCGATGTAAAAAAAAACCGACTAAACAAATAAGTATTTAACAATTAGAATTTTGTCATCTAAATGATTACCACATTACGCCAAGTTTCAAATATTAAACAAAAAGAGTAAGCTTATGGTTTACGCTACATCATATATCTGATTTCTATTGAAATGGAGTGAGTTTTCGCTGGATTACTCCATGACGCTATATAAACAGTATTTGCATACAAAAGTAACCGAGGACAGTTTAATAATTTGGTACAATACCCCTATTGAATTCTATGCAGTCCGAACTTTGGAGTACGGTCAGATAGTATACTCTCCATACTTTCATTTAATATAGTCATCAATGTTGTAAAAAGAATGTCAAAAACAATTTGCAAAAGGCAAGGAGAGACTCGGTACACACAACAAATTTAGCAATTTAGATTATATAGATAACATTTGCCTACTGCCTCACGATTCTACTTAGATTCAAGGACCATTAAAGAACCATTTAAGACAATTGTTATCCAAACAAAGCTACGTTGATGAACAACTTTACCTAATAAAAATATGAACAGGAAATATATATTTAATATGATATTGAAGGTTATCGGAACATACAAAACAAACTTATAATAGTATAATCTTTAATAAAATATAAGGATCTTGAAATTTGTTTAAGCACAGCAATAATATTATTTAACTACAAACTTGAAGACCCGATTTTGTATAAAAATGAAAGCTTGAATATACAAACCAGCTTTTGCAAGACTTTGCGAACTACAGTTCGTCACATCTAATAAGTATAATGACTATATATAATACCAGATACCCAATTATGGATCATAACCAAACAACTAACAATTATCAGAAAATAATAATCTGAAAATATAAATAATTGGGTCTAATTTTGCAATGGTTTTAAATCCTCAATTTTGTATCAGAATGAGAACTAAAATATAAAGATCAGATTAAGCAAAACTTTGTAAGCAAATAACCAGTTGTGAATCAGAACCAAGCAGCCAATAATTAACCAGAAAATAATAATTCAAAAATATAAGTGACTTGGTTTCATTCTACAGTCGCTTCAAAACCTTCGTATGAGATTTAAAACTGGAATATAAATGCTTCTTTAGCAGTTGCAATCTTAAGCACATCTAATGTATATACTGGGAAAATATAATTCAAATACAGTGTTATCCAGAAAAAATTGGTCTAGAAATATAAGTGATTAGCCGCATTCCACTTTAGCTTTTAATTCCGGATTTGGTGTAAGAGTAATTTATGGGATATAAACGTCAGCTTCTGTAATGCTTCAGCAATCGTAGTCTCTAGCACATCTAATAAGTAGACTGAAGAATTATGAGTACAATACCATATACCTAATCATGGTAAAAAAATAAAAGTAGTTTGGTCGAATTCTACGTTGGTCTCCATAAGACAGCAGTAAAAAAATCTTTATATTTTCCACGACAACAAAACGGATAGGCCTCCAAATAAAATATGGACGAGACAAATTAATGGAGGACTATAAATTAATGGAAAGAGCGTGGATGAAATAAGGCGATTGCCCAAACGATAGAGTTATTATTTATAGAAATTATTTATAGTATTATAACCATATGTTTAAAGAGTTTTGACATCTATATTATGATAGTACTTATGAGTATGTATACAACCCTAAGTCTTAATTATGTTCTTTATTTGAGTTATTACAATTCGACTGCAACAAGAACTGCATTACATTTATTATATAAATTTAATGATATACATTATATCATTTTAAATTTACTATTTAAAAATTGTTCAAATTTTTTTCAAAGGAAATTTATGAAATAATTAATTTATTTACAACACTTAATTAATGACAAATCTAATGTTTTAAGATCCATATTAATTTGGCATAGAGAGAATTCAATTAAATACATTTAAATATGTATTTTAAGAGAAATAACTTACATCTTCTTCCATCATTAATTGTCTCATATTCGACCGACCTAAAAAGAATTAAAAGAATAAGATCATAGAGTGCAGATAAACAAAACTGTTTGACTTACCAGTTCCCAATCTAAATAAGGGCACATTATCACTAAAACTACCATTAAGAGAGTAATACAAGCAACAGCATTGTATATGTGAACCAATAAAAGAACTTTGTCGTCATTATTTTCGAAATAATAATGGTAAAAGCAACAATATCCGATACAGATGAAAATCCATACTCCAACAATATCATGAAAGGGTGCAAAAAATAAACGTAAACGTCGATATTCGTACAAATAGGCAAATATAAACACCGCAATAACAAACTAAGGAGTCAAAATGTAAAATATATATTACTTAAGTGAGGATCATCGAAGTTCTGAAACATATCAATAAAAGTGTTAAAGTTTCCTTATTACCTGTAAGATAATAGCAGAAAAGGTGAGCAAAGCTGGTAGCATATGATCATGTTCCATGCGAGATTGCAGTAATACAAACCCTGCAATCAAGATAATAAGCCCCAGTAAATGAAATATGAGGTGTACATATTTTATACATCGGGTTCGTCGCCCTCTCAGTAATCGAAACATCATTATGCCTTTTAAATAGAGAATATTTTAAATTTATTTTCTAAATTCTTTTATATCACACCCATAACATACCTATTCCAATAAATGCTGTGCCAACTAGGCTCAGTATAATATGCAGATCGATGCCACGTATTAAAAATGTAAGACCGATTAGCACTATAATTCCTATGAGGTAAAATATCATCAAAATAGCTGTTATTATTTGACTCCTGTGAATTTTTTTTCTTCGGCGTGGCATCTTTTAAATCCATACAAGATATTACACAGATTCTTGGTTCAAAACAAAATATTACAGTATTTTTTAAAAATTTTTCATTTTTGTTTTTTTCATTTTATTTAAATTGATTTAAAAAGTAAATGTAAAATAAATTTGTTTAATTTGTCATCATAAGTATTTTACTGTCATATAAAATTGCAATCCACGTTCAAAAGTAGTTACAAAACTACATTTTGTATCTAAATACTTGAATAAAAAGTCTATATACCATATACCATGATATCGCATTAACTCCATACTATAAACTGCATACCATGATATCTGATTAACTTCAATACGTCAGCAGTTATCGCCTACAGATCGGCTATCGCATTGCAAGAAAACATTGTGTGATCCACATTCACTCAAGAATGTGAGCAAGCGTCTATTTCAGACGGTAGTCGCAGAGACACTTTACATCCAATTTTCAAAGTATTAAGGGTGGACTTAACTAAGAAAATCACAAGCTAACTTTAATCCTGTACGCTTAAATAACCCCAGAGCCAGTAGAATGGTTTATCAGCATTTGTCGATCAAAAACCTTTAAATAATATATATAATAAATAATAATATAGTAGTAGTAACATTTAGCTTTAATTTTACTTCATTTTAAATTACATAGAAATTAATAACAATTAATAAGAAATGGATAACAATTATTATATATAAAATTTACAGCTATGGCATTTTAACCGGCTAAAATATGTATAAACCTTCTGCTCAAAAAGTACTCGGATTTTGTTAATAAAACACACAAATTTAAATTTTATTCCAAATTAATTTTATCTCCTTCAAAATATGCTCCTTCTGTACGATACAAATATGCCTACGCTTAACCCAATCTTCCATACACTTTTCGTAGGCCCGCGCAGGTATGGGTTTTAGTTCCTTCAGCGAATTCTCTTTTACCGATTCAATCGACTCAAAATGCTTACCACGATGGGGCAATTTGAGTTTCGAGAACACAGGAAAAAGTCACACGGGTCCAGATCTGGCAAATATGGTGCCTGAACGATGACAGTGGTGCCGTATTTGGTCAAAAAATCGCGTACAACAAGAATTTTCCATAGTAAAAATCGCTAAATGCACTTGAGGTAGTCTCACATTAGCAGCTGCTGTAAACAAACTAATTGACAGATGGCGCACAAATTTCTACCATATTTGACATAAGATACAATGTTGGGTGTACCAACATTTCAAAAAATTTTTGAAAAAGGTCTATTACTTAAGGAGTAGTTAACAAACAACAAAATCCGGATACTTTTTGAGCAGAAGGTAATATATATAATATAATATATAATGCAAAAGTAGATTGTTAGCAATAAAATCAACAAATATGGTGGGATGCGTCAAGTAGGTGTCTTATCAATTGCATTTTTCTAGTATTGTTTTGATCGCTATAAAGAAAAGTGACGGTCAAAATACAATACAGCAGTGTATTTCTTAGTGACTAACGGTAGATTAGTTCGTTTTAGTAGCGCTAGAGGTTACTTTTCTGTCCAAATAAGGTTTATACTTTGTTTTACTACCAGGTATTCGGATATCCTAAGATCCCAGATAATAAAACAAACTATGGTATTGATAAAATAAATATGCTTTATTGTAAAACGCGGTAAATAAAACAGTAGACTGTATGTCACATATATATTGCTTAACAATGACCAGACGCCATTGGTGGTCTAAGCTTAAAATCGATATAGAAAAAAATTTTCATACACCTAATGATCTCTAAAACTCTTTATACTATTGTTATTTCTTATTATTATTAAATCGAATCTCCAAAACTCTTTATACTATTATTAGAATAATATAAATACTATTTTAGAATAATTTTAAAGAATTGTTCACAGATCGTTTTAACGAATTGCTATCTTTTGCGCAAAAAATTGCTAATACCGCCGATAACCACTTAAGAGAATTTTAACTGTATTAATTCCATTTACAATATAATTATTATACATTTTTTTAGCAGCCTAAATTAAATAAAAAATTATGGGACGAAAAAGATATAGTTTATTGGTTTGTTTAATTTTGTAATAATTAAAAATGTTCTTATGGAACTATCTGTATTACTGGACTACACATCGAACATACACATCCACTAATATTCAGAATTAGCACATAACAATATACATGGACCCAAAGTTGAACCTCAGAGTTGACTCCAATAGATGATGGAATAAAGAAAAGTTCAATTTACATAAGAAAATTTTTATCATCCACACTGCACATGGAACCGACAAAAAGAACGGACCAAGACTTCTCTGGAATTTCTGGCGATGGCACAACTTTAGTAGCAGGCTTCCTTTAATATAAATAAATTTAGTGGAAATAAAAATATAAATAAATAATAATATGAATTATAAAGCTTACTCAGAATAACCACTGGAGGTACCAGCTGTAGCAGATTTATCCAGAATGCAAGTTAGTTTGGGCTTAGCCATGAGCTCAAGACACGCTTCGCTTTCCTTTCCATGCAATGTTGTATTGCTAGGAGTACCATGCTGCACACCCGTTGAGGTCGAAGCACTAACACTTAGTAAATTCTTTTCTGCCATTGTTTAACTGCAAAACATATAGTCCAGATTCAAATCAGAATTTAGAGCAAAAAAGGTTTTGCCAACGAACATAAAAACAATTTAGAACGGCTCACAAAAATTTTGTAAAATTATATTGTAAAAACTTATTCATAATGAAAAAAAAATTTTACGTCGTAAGTTTATTATCAAATAATTTAAATAATAATTCAATTTGAAGTAATCGGATCGGTTGCTATGTTCTGAAATATTTTTAGTATATACCTTCTGCTCAAAAAGTATCCGGATTTTGTTGTTTGTACTCCTTAAGTAATAAATCTTCATCAAAAATCTTTTTGTTATGTCGGTACACCCTTTCTTGACATATGGTACAAATTTGAGCGCCATCTGCAATTTATTTGTTACAGCAGCTGTTAATGTGAGACTACCTCAAGTGCATTTAGCGATTTTCTTTTTTCTGTTCCCGAAACTGAAATTGGCCCTTCGTGGTAAGCGTTTTGAGTCGATTGAATCGGTAAAAGACAATTCGCTGAAGTAACTAAAAGCCATACCTTCACGGGCCTACGAAAAGTGTATGGAAGATTAGGCTAAGCGTTAGCATATGTATATCGCTTCAGAAGGAGCATATTTTGAAGGAGATAAAATAAATTTGGAATAAAATTTAAATTTGTGTATTTGTTTACAAAATCCGAATTAATATATCAAACTTTATATGTAAAACCAATATGTGTACAAGCGCATCCAATTAATTTCGAAAAAAATATTGTATTTTATATAGAAATGAATTATAAGTTGATATTAGATGTACATTCTAGCAGTTTTTATTTAATAAGGGCTAATATAGTTCATCATTATGTAGTTTTAGAATAGCACCCAAAGTATCATCTCTATATTTTAAGTTTAGCCATTTTAAAATATGGATCGTTTAGCAGCCGCTAAACGTAAAGATTAGTTATTGGAATGACAGCATTGGTATGACGATTTTACGCATCTAATTTTCTGGTGGTTCATTTTTTGCTTGATGGATATCGCAGCAAACAAAGTTGCCTCATCTGCAACAGAGAAAATCTACAGTTGACTATCGGTGGACCAATGTATCTAATAATCGTTGTATGTTCTGTTTTTAGTTTGGAAATTTAATAATCACGCGATTTATCCAAACAATATATTGAAATAAATATTTAATCGAAATCTTCGTCACAAATGTATTTTATTTACGGTACTCTAAAATAACCTAGTTGGGTAGCAAATACATTTTGAGATACAATTCTACTTAATCTATTAATAAAACCTATTATACAAATATTTTTGCTTAAAAGTCCTTAATATAACACAAAATTGAATATGCTAATATATTATTTATTACTTCTTAAAATACTGTAAATTTCAACCATATCACATGAGACCATTCAATTAGGTGAATTCCAATTTCTTGAAATCTACATCTTTGAATGAAGTGTAGTTAAGTACATTATCTGAATTCTATACTGTCTAATATACCTAGTTCGCTCGCAACCGTCATGCAAAGGAATATGTCACTTGGGTGAGAAATACATTCCCTGATACTAATATTGAATGGTATGTAAATGTATAATATTTGTTGCCTACTTTTAGGGTCTATTTCTTAACTGCGTATACGAGGAATACGTCATTAGTATTTTAAATAAAAACAAAAATTTTAAACGCTATTTTTTATGTTGAAATTTAAAAATATGAAAATTGTTTCCTACTTATTACAAATTGTTCAATTTTGACTTGACTAAATCAATCTTAAATACTTAAGCTACTAATACTAGAAACCAAACATTATATTCCAGCAATCTGCTGCATTATGAAGTTTTACAGTCGAAAACAGCTCTCTCTCTCTCTATTTCTGTTATATTTTTTCTAATATTTACTGACAACATCAAACCGAAAGGCAGTATACCATCATGAATACAATTTCAGTATCCAAGTCTCAACAACATACGACAATTTAGACCAGATGTATCCTCTGAAATATCGCAGATAAAACATTATAATGAGATTTCTTATGAAAGGATGGATTTTTTTGGTTCCTAGTAGTAATGTATTCTTCATTTTTTTCTTTCATGCTTTAATGAGACAAACCCACACCATAGTGTGAATAGTGTTGTATCTTACATTTAATCACAAAAACGAAACAATATATTGGATGAAATAAAATTTATCCGCAGTTTTTTTAAACATTGTAATAAACTATATATCGAATAAAGTACTTTCTCTCAACAAACAAATCCCCTGAGCGTCTTGGGACCAACGTCAATGTTAACAATTATAAATTCGAAGTTGTGAAAGACTTTGTTTATTTAGAAACCAACGTAAATACCAAAAATGACGTCAGCCTAGAGACTCAATAAAGAATCACTCTTGCCAACAGATGTTACTTCGGACTAAGTAGGCAATTGAGAAATAAAGCCCTCTCTCGACATACAAAAATCACATTCTACAAATCTCTTATCATACCGGTACTGTATCATACTGTATGGTACAGAAGCTTGGACAATTAGCAACAGTGATGAGAAGGCATTATAAGCATTCGAGAAAAAAATTCTCCGCAAGATCTATCGTCCCTTACGTGTTGGCGACAATTATCGATTTAGATGGAACGATAAGCTGTATGATGTATACCATTGACATTGACATAGTTAAGTGCATTCACATTCAGTGGCTTTGCTGGCTTGATCATGTTGTGACTGGAATGTAAGAATGTGCTCCGGTTAGAAAGGTGTTTGATTCTGTACCCGCAGGTGGAAAACGCGGTAAAGGATGTACTCATCTTTGGTGGAAGGACCAGGTGACCAACGGTTTGAGGGCGCTTGGTACTACCAACTGGCGACAGAAAGCAACTTATCGGGCTGGCTGGCGGAGACTACTCTCCGCTGTCAAGGACGTCGTACGTTTACAATGGCCAACTAAATAAGTATATATTTGACATTACTATAACCTATCGGTTGAAACTTCTGTGATTTGTAGGCGAAAAACTTGACCAAGTGATTGTAGCCGCTCAATTTTATATCATTAAGACAGTTTTGCAGAAACCGAAGCAAATGAGATTCAAACTGTGCAAGATCAGAGCTATACGATTGATGCATCAAAACTTCTTAACTGACTATTATCAAATCGGTTGAATTTCAACTTAGTTTGAGACCAAGTTGCATCAACCATCAATTTGTTCCAATACACCAAAGATGTGTTTGGCCTAGCATTGTCATCGTGGAACATTTCTAAGCGCTTTGCCTTGATAATTTCGTTCAATCAGTCGAGTTGAACATTTAAAAAAACTTTCAACACAAACGACAAATTAAGCAATTGCCTTTACGACAAAATGTAATATCTTTCAAACACGTGTTCATTTAGTATTACCAGCTACAATGGTACCAACGCCATCTTGTAGCAAGGAATAACGAAGCCTTTTTTGTATTACCCAATATTAAACCAAAAAACAATCTTTAAACACAAGTGTGATTCATTAAGCAGAATGGAGAATCTTCTTTTCCTATAATTATGTATATTACATGTGTTACATAAATCTGTTTTAAGAATCTGGAAACAATATATATATGCTATTGTATCTAAATAAATATAAAGTATTTTCATTGAGAAGGGTGTTTCTTTTATATATAATATATTTAATTCAAAGGCTTTATATAGAACGCTTGTGCGAGAACCTTACTACTCCAAGGACAAAAATAAAACAAAAAGCCTTTTAGGCTTCAGTAAACTTGCAGTTCGTGTACTTACTGGAGTAATAAAGGGGGACTGTGTCATTGCGCCTATGACTTCAGCGGTGGCGAGTTCCAACAAGTGGATTATGTAGGAGTTTCCAAGATGAGGAGGAAGTAGAATTCATCAACCACTTTCAGTGTCTCTATCCCAGACTGCGAACAAGGCGATTTCAATATGTTGGGGATCGCTTCACAGGCCTCGAAGCGATAACGAAAGCAAACTTAACGGTTCTCCTTACCTTCATTTGGAAAACCAAGTGATTTAACAGGGATAGAAGATAAAGGTTAGCAACTCGTCTCTCCCAGTATATCTTTGAGGGCATCACAATGGGCAATATATGCCTCCGAGTGCAAGTGCTGATAACTGTCAGCACGCAACTTCTTAACCTAACCTTAAGCTACTACTCCATCAATCACCAAACGATATATCTTTTTGAGTCTGTATTTAACCTTTTTTATTACATTATAATACTTAAAATTTATTTACCAAAATAAATGCTAAAGATTTAGAGCTGAGATATTGGCATAAATTAATTTTGTACATGTATAATCTCTCATATGTAATCAAAACTATGTTGAAATCCATTCAGATGTCCAGTTATAGGATTTTTCAAATTCAATGTAACCAATAATTAATATTAGTTCCACTTTTAGACTTCCCAAATCGATATGAAACTTTTATTTGTATTGTTATCGAGAGATTTACTTAGGAGTTTCCATCGCTGCCGTTATTTCTGAGGTTCTCAATTAGTGCATTTTACTAAGCGCTTACTTTCTTCCAGTATGCTCTTTCATCTTTTTCTTCTGAAGATTTTCTTTATGATAACTTAAAAACCAATTCAATAAATTGAAAACTGACAATTAATCATAAATTTATTATTTAACAAATCGTGTTGTTGTATTGGTGAAAAATACAAGCATTCGCCACTTTCGAATACTTGCAATGCAGTTTTCTCTTCTCTTATTGAACTAGCAGGTCCTGAATAAACGATATGTGTACTAGGATATCTTCCAGTATTACGCCAGGTCGATAATATAATATTTAATGGATATTTTCCTGGCATTAAACCACATCCCCATACAACCAAAAAATTGATATCCCTATTAGCATCGAGATTATCTAGGTGCATAATTTCACTTAACCGAAGGCCCCCAGTCATAATTAAAAGAGGCAATAAATCACTATATTCACTGTGTCCAATTCCAGCGATTTTATCACGCACAAGATAAATCATTTGACATTTTGGTTTAGCAGACAGAGCGACACGTACATCTATGAAGAAATTTTTCACCATTCTTGGAGAAATGCGATCAAATGGCAGCTCATGGTGAGCAGTTACCATATGTATAATAAAATCAGATAGAAAACATTTAAAATAATGTTTACATTCTGGACACAAAAGTGGATGACGCGGTATACGTAAATCATAGCATGTCAAATTTTTTGGCATAAAACGTTGCTTCGCCAAACGTGCAAGCACTGCAGGTGACTTTGAAGGATATTTGATAATTTCCAATTGTGGCGGTATTAGCGTATTTCCAATTAATTTATTTCCTTTGATAGTAATAGGTGGTCCCTCTACTGGATCGTAGCGCGATCTTAAAGCTAATGAAATCAGTTCAGCTATGTCCTCTGGGTTACAGCAACTTTGTTGAATGAAACTATCAGTTTTGAGTAGTGTATCTGGCTTACTTAATTCATCAAGTAAATCTTCATATTTTTCATATAACTCCTTTTTCTTTTCTTTGTGCGGAAATGTTTCAATTTCTTTTGCATTTTCCACAGATTTCTTCGCGGTTTGATATATGGGTTTTTCACTCAAAAGGATTTCGTTTTTCATATAGGTATTCGCAATAGTAGTTCCTCTAACAGTATCTTCATTTATTGTTTTTAAAATTTTTTCCATGCGCTCATTCATGGACTCATCAACCATTTTATTAGTTGGTTTATTGGTTTCGGTTAGAATACATTCCTGTCTTTGTGTCACCTCCCGTAAGAGCACAATACTATTCTCACTAATGACGACTTTGGATTCTTCTGATAAACTGGGATATGACTCCGTCGAAACACTTATGGTACATACCTTTTCTTTGTATTTCATATTAGTGCATGTAGTTCTGTAGCAGTTGCAGTGTCCAGCACGTTTCCGCGAACTTTTCTCTTCATTTTCCGAACTGATTTTCGCTTCTTCATTTTTATTCGTTTGATCAGGTATGCCAAAGAAAGTCTACACAATTAAAAAAAAAAACAATATAAAGAAATTTACTTTTGGAAATTTCTTACCTGTGTTGAACCCGTCTCTTGGTTGTGTCTTAAATGGAATGGCACATTTTTGGAAGACACGTCAGACTCATCATTCAACTTATGCCCCATGAAAAGTAGTCGCAAATTACTATTTTTACCCTCAGAAGCTTCTTGTAAATCTAAATTACATTCCTCGTAATTTCCAATATTTTCAATATTTTGAGTGGGAAGTTGGTCACATTTCTTACAATGTGATTGCTTGCTCTTGTTTAGATCTTCAGTATCTTTTGCTTTACGAGCTTTATTCGTAGGATCATTTTTATGTTTTTTGGTTTGTTCTTTTTTATTTTTTTCCTCAAGTTTAATTTTGAGAATTGCATTTTGCAATGTTAAACTCTGATTTCTTTTCAACAAAATATTATACGATTCTTCATACATCATTCTAGAAATATCATTTACTCTCATAGTTACTAGATAAGGATTTGTTGGATCTATTACATTTTCATTTCTTAAGTATGCAAAATTCATTGCTTGATTCTGAGTCATGGGCACAAATCCAGATGCTGTTTGAGGTACTGTCATAGAAGCATTCAATGTGTTAAATAGCTGCATCAATAAAATTTGATTCATTACAGGTAGAAAAAATTGCGTTTGACCATCAAGAGAGTTATTGAAATAGGGCTCCATTGGAGGTGCTGTAGGCGCAGTTGAAGTCTCATGAGGTGCAACATATTCCGCACCATTAGTAATTATTTTGGGAAGATTAACATTTTGTGACCGTACAGAGTTAGTACCAACTACAGTTTCTTCCAAAATATTTTTTGTATTATTATTAGCAGTATCGAGTATATAAGTTAAGTGTCGTTGTAATGAGTCTAATAATGATGATGATGATTCTTCTATATAATCCGTAGACTTGTTAGCTACACTGGTTAACTGCTGATTTCCGTGTGTTATAACCACATTATTTATGTTTTGTTTTGTGTCATTATTGTCCTTCACAATTGTTGGTTGAACTGTATTATAGGAAGAATTAATTAAATTTGTTTCAAGTGAAACTTGTGCTATATTTTTCTCTACTTCTGGTGCAGATACTGTATTCGGCTTCGTTGCCTTTAATGAGTTACTAGCACATATATCACCCTCCAAAGAAATCATGGGGTTAAACGTAGATACACGAGGAGCAGAATTTGTTACAGGTCGTCCATTATTCTGGAGCTTCAGATTCGTAGATACAAAGCGTAAATTTTTATCACCACATAACAAACATATTCCATTGTTTTTTCTAATGCAATCATTACATATGGAATGTCCACTTTTACAAATAAACTGTCCGCTTGGTTTTCCTCCAGGACTAATGGAATATGTTTTGCACATCGAACAGGACATTTTATTATCAATTGTAGCTGTAATGCTCATTATTTTATGGATCACAAAATCACTAAAAACAATTTATAATTGCCAAATATAATTAAAGTTCACAAAGACGAAAAAATTTTCAATAATCAAATTATTTAAATTTAATGAAACAAAAACAATTTAAATTAAATTCACAGTTTTTGTATTTTAAACAATTTTACACATTTTTTTTTCAAAAGCTTGGTAAACTCAGTTAAACTTGAGAAATAATTTCAGTAATTTAATTTAATTAATTTAATCAATAAAATTGAGAACTTATCTGGTCTCCATCTATTAGAGTTCAGTACATCCCAGAGATCACTTAATCGTAGATAGTGTAGGTAGTGTATCTTAACCTAACATCTTCACTATCAAAACAGGTTAATTGGGATATGTCCTCCGTAATACCAAAAAGAAGCTACTATATACGATGTTATAAAAATAATAGAAAGACAACAGAGTATGGATTAGGTTAAGCTGAATTGACGATCTTGTGTCCAAAGTCCACTTGAGATCAAATAATAGCTTGTTGTGAAACTGTGGATCAGCGTTGTTCATACATATATTAAAAAATCAGCGTATGAAAGTAAACCAACATGACAAGTATATAAACTTCGACAATTCCTTAAGGGGGTAGAAAAGGGGGCTTCTTAGATTTCAAATTTTCTTTTATCCAATTTCATAGACATAGAACATGAGATGGAATACAGTTTCCTCCTCATTCACAGAACCACAACCTCGACAGAAGTCATTATGTGTTTCAGTCTCAAATTATGTTTTATTAGCACGCAGTAACCCGTCAATATCTATACCGCAGTACTAAGCTGTAGTAAAAGCAGCTGACTGCTACTTTTTTATTCCAGTTTAGATCACGTCAATCTTGAGATCTAATAAGATTGTTCAACTACCCAAGTTTGTTAAGCTATAGTAAGATATTTTTGTTTGATTTTCATCTTGGCTATTACAAGTGATAAGCAATATCCGAAAAATAAAAGTGAGTGCTCCATGTCTGCTCTGATCCCTGTAAACAGATACCTATGCGAGTTGAACGCTGACATGCTTAGCTAACCCGTTAAAAGAAGCCTCCTATTTACGAATTGTTTAAGATATAGTTATTGCGCTTATTAGAAACTTGATAGCAACTTAACTGCCCGAAAAGGTTGCAATATTTACAGCGGAGAACTTCTTGACTAGGACTCAAATTGCTGCGAGTCGAAACAGGATACTAAGACATACTAATACTAAGTTAGCAGTTATTCTGGCTTATAAATATCGGATAGACTAGACTAAAAACAATTAGCGAACATATTTATAAGGCACAAAATGGAGTGGCGTATTCAAATGTTGTATATATATTATTTTATTTGAAATTTAATTTATTTTTTTTCGTGTATTTAATATCTATGTATCTTTTATGAACATTCATATGCATGTATTATATAAAAATAATTTTCACAGCAAAGTAACATAAATCCAGAAAAATATACGAACATAAAACTCAAGTAAGGCTTTGGGTCAGTTGGTTAAGGTGCGCTGACTCTGAGCTTCAAATTTGGCAGGACACGAGTTCGCTTCCTAGTATTTGCAGTCTCAAAAAAAAATTATTTACGTATAAGTAAACACAACAATTAATTCTAAGACCACTGCTGATGGGTATTACTCTAAACAGCTGTATGGTCGCCAAAAATTCAATTTTTTAATAATATGAAATGAAGTTTTGTTGTTTTAGTTCACTGCTATTCGAAAAACCTCTTTAAAAAAATTTAATAAATGTGTACGCCAACACCTAGGAAGGGATAATAAGTTTAATAAGAAAGAGATATTAAAATGTTTACTTCAGTTGGATTCTAATATCTCCCTAATAAGCCCTTGTATCATTCAGTGAGATATCAGATTATCAAAGTACGGTAAAGATAAATGGAAAAGAAATATATTTTGTGGCTTTATTCTTTTTCTGTTATCCATTTTCAAATATATAATTAACTAATCTATGATTTATATTTTACAGTCTATGATTTCTTATAGTTTAATAAGAAAGAGATATTAAAATGTTTACTTCAATTGGATTCTAATATCTCCCTAAAAGGCCCTTGTATCATTCAGTGATATATCAGATTATCAAAGTACGGTAAAGAAAAATGGAAAAAAAATATATCTTGTGGCTTTATTCTTTTTCTGTATTCCATTATCAAATATATAATTAACTAGTCTCTGATTTATATTTTTATTCCTTATTTATTACAAATTAACACCTCTGTTGAAACACCACCTTGAAATTTAGCAAAACTATGAAAAAGTTAAGTAATGAAACTTGCAAAAATTACGGTAGTACGTACTTACATACTCAGCATTTGCTAATATCAGTTTACTAAAGTCTTAACCTTGCCAGAAGGTCTACAATAAGCAAATAAAAATAATAAATATTAACTTTAAAGTATTTCTATTTTAACAGTAATAAATACTTTGTGCAAACTGTGGTTATTTGAGTTACTCTTCCGACCCAATGAAACGATGCTCGAAGAAAATGTTATAACGCAAAGCGATGAGCTATAAAGACTCTTCAAACTCCTTCAAGAACAATTAAAAATAATAAAAGTCAAAATTCAATTAAAAAAACACTATCAATATTTTGAGTTGGTCAACAAGTGGCCGCCACAAAGATCAAAACCGTGTAAATTTAATCTCATAATTGTTATTTTATTAAACTTTTGATACACAATGAAGCAGCATTTTTTTCCACTGCAAAACGTGCGTAATTTGACTAATTTGGGTACCAAACAAATCACTAATTCATGGATCGAATGGGAGATGAATGCGCGATGAACGCTTGAAATGCTGCTCAATGCAAGTCCAATTATTCGTCTAAAGTTGAAATATTATGAAGTTGGCAACAGTACAAAGAGGCTAACAGCTTAGGCTTAAAGCGGTAAATAGACTAAAATGTTTATTTTCAGACGCGACTACGACAAATTTTACTATTTCACTTTTAATATCTTTTTTTTTGGACATATTTTTTATTTAATTTTTTTTTTTTAATATTTTTTATTTGTTCATATTAAACATTGAGGCAAAGTACTATTCGAAATTAATGCGCATGCGAAGCGCATTGATGCTGCTAATACATATCCACACAAGTCAAACATTGAAATATTAACAGTTGCTCAGTTTCTTAGGCGGGTGACAGAGCCACCGATGTTTGCGACTGAAGGTCTACACCAACTTAAGAGGTTAAAAACCTTTGCCCATATTTATTTATGTTTAATATTCGTTTAATGTTTTATTATTTTTATTGATTTTAAGATTTTGCCTGGGCATATCAAAATAATTTTCTTATTGTATGTTAATATAAATAGGTTGTCACAATTGTTAAAAAACATCAGAAGACGAGTAGCAAGCAACCCAAGCATAACGATCAGTAAAAACTCAACAAAAAAACAAGTACAATATGAATAAAATGGTAAGTACTTGCTCTTGGTGATATATCAATATAATAAAAATCCTCAATCACTTTCCTTACATCACAGTACAAACAACTCTTAACTCTCACTTTACTCTTCGTCGCAACTTTTGCTGATGTTTCACATCTGTCTAACCATTACTTGCCACCAGCACCACTCGATACAGCAGAAAGTCAACCCAATTTTTCGACAGTCATTGAACAGCATGAATTGAAGGAATTGCCAGAACAAGTCGAGTATGTGCAAGAGAATGACGCACAGCAAGTGCCACCAATTGATATGCAACCACCACCATTCGTAGCTACACCTGCCGCACACTATTTGCCACCACCACTAGCCATAGCACCATTAGAAAAAGTAAAAACAGCCGAAGAAGTGCAAGTACCAGAAATGTCTGAAATAGTGGAAGAAGAACAAGTTACCTCAACAACAACAACTGAGCAACCAATTGCTGAATCAACCACGGCAGCTACCACACAGGAAGTCTACACAACAACTGAAGCCATAATGACAACTGCAAATGTTGCTAGTGAAAGCACCACACCTACTGTAGAATATTTGCCACCACAACCCAATTATCAACAATACCAAGAGCAATTAGAACTTAGCGGTAAAATGCCTGAAGAAATATTATTATCTCAAGAACCACAGGAAATTGTTGAAATTGTGGCTGAAGAAGCACCACTCGAAACGCCTGTTCCTAAAGTAGCAGAACCTGAGCCAGCACACTACTTGGCTGCAGATGGTTACCATTATAAGACTGGTGGCACTGATAAACGTTTCCGTTTGAGACATTAGAGAAAAAGAAGAACAAGAAGAGTCTATATTAGGGTCTGCATAGAGGATCTTTACTTTAATCCCAACTATGTTAAAATAATTGTTGTTAAACATATTTTTATTTGTTACTGCTTGCCATAATAAAACATTTTGACGTCGTCAAATTAAAATTATTTATCAGTTGTTATTTATTAATAACTTTTCAATTATTACTTATTATTAAAGCAGATTACTAACTTTGAATATTAATTAAACTATGTACGTAAATTAAAAATAAGTTAAAATGTATAGTCAAACATAACTAACATCTGAACAGAACTTACTTAGTAATAGATCCTTCCAGGATATTAGCCGGTACTCGGCATAAAATAAACTAGAATTATATAAAGTTTACCAGTTGGACTATGAGCTAAATATGCTTTTTTAGCGAAGAAAACTTCCATTAGGTATTTTACACTGTATGGACAATTTTATAATCCCCATACAAAAGTTTAAATCTACTGTTATTAATAAAAGAAGATGAGTATATGTATATGTCAGCTCATATTTCTTTGATTTACAAAAAAAAAAAAAAATTGGGAACTAAAAAATTTTAAAAAAAAATCAAAAAAAATATTGTTAATCCATGTGAACCGTCTTAGTTAAGATTTTTTCATGGTGTGTGAATGTCTAAGATCTATATAAAGAGAATACAAAATGTACCAAAAAATTTAATGAAGATCTAACCTTATTGACTTGTCTCTAAAATTTGTTAAAAATCTGTTGCAATTGGATTATCTATAATAAAAACTATTATACAAATCCGTATACATTAATTAATTATAAAATCATATAACTATACCTTATAGTTACTTTATATTGTACTCTTCCCATCAATGGAGAATATAACTTTAATCCAAACATTTTTAGACTTTTTTCAAAGACAAAGGTCCGGGAGTCCCCTAATCTGCTATCAGTATACTTAAGCAAAAACCGTAGACTATATTTTTACTTAATTATTTTATTCTCTATTATCATCTGTTATATTTTTAGTATCTTAGAATGTGTATTAACTTTATTCTCTATTGAAAACTCACATTTTGACTTATCTCTACTTTTACAATTGCATGGTAATGATGGTGGTTAGATAATTAAAGCTGATTGATAGAACCAAAAGTTATAAACAGCAATACAACAGATACTGTCATTTTTTAAAATATAGAAAAGAGAATTTAGTAATGCACTGCAATATATATTCCATGAGGAATACTGGACTTCAAAGTATACTTCTACAAAATCATCTGAATAACTTCTTAACAGAATTCAACAGACCTCTTATAACTCCTCGGTCTTAATAACATTCTCAACGTTGATATCATAGATATTGTTTTTAATAGTCGATTCAGTATACCGAGTAAACGACGGAATTAATCGAACTTCTTTCTAGATGCTGTCTAATACCTTATGAAAAGGAAATATTAAACCTGTAAGCTAGATGTTAACTTGGGTGTAAGACTTTGTATCGACATACTGATTATTAGCCAAATGAAGTGAAGTACTTGTAGTGAGAAATGTACTACAGACAATAGACTTAGTGAGAAACGTACTACAGACAATAAACTAATATTGTTCTCAGGAATGTCTATTCTCAGTGATATATGGTACATTTATACAGTGCAGGTTTTATCTTAGTAATTCCTCAGAACTCCAAACATAATAAATAGATGTCATTCAGTGTCCAAAACGAATTATAACTATCCATTTAACTTCTAAATTATTGATAGCTTGCGCAAAATAGGTGTTTTCTTTCGTGTCTGAAACATTACATTTCCTATACAAAACTATAACGTCTTATAAACAGATGCATGGGAAGTGTTACTTGTTCAGAACCCTTTAGCTTTTATAGAAGAGTATGTCAACCTCAAGTAAAAAACTGCAGTAGATAACGAGTATTTTAAACAAGTGGAAGAGAATCTGAGAAATGGTTTCATAGACTACAATTATTAAATGTATCAAACTCCTCCTTCTCACAGCTTTTTCAGTGTCTGTTTTACCAGGCTAGGTACGACTGGAGCCTGCGTCTGTACTTGGATCGAGCAGTTTGCTAACTATATATCATTTAATAAAAATTTTTATATTATAAGGGCTATATATATATATAGCTATAACACTTCTATATTCTATATTTATCAACCTAATAAAATCAATTAAAACTTTTTAATGCTATTGCATTTTATTGGCTTTTGATATGAACTATATATATTGTATATACAATATAAATAAGTACAATGAATAAAGTTCAAATTGAATCAAATCAACTTTATTGCTCCTCCTCGCCTTCGTCTTCTTCTTCAAGGTGTGCTCCTTCTGGTAATATGTCCACTTTATGCAAAGTAAATTGTTGATTATAAAATGGAATTTTAAGCGTCACCACGATGCAGTAGTGCAAGACCTGTAAGAACTTCGTGCGTAATAAATAGGATGCACCTTGACCCTTTGGAAAGATTGGATGGTCTCTGCTTTGACAATCAAACATAAAGTAACCACCATCATGACCAAATGTGCGTCCAATTGCCAGTGAACGTTTATTGCATTGCAATACACCGAATTGATAATTTCCAAAGAAATACATTAGACCCTCAGCTAAATTCATTCTAGTCTGTGAGGGAACACAGTACATTTTGCCATAGCAAACATGCTCCAAATGTACTATAAATTTAATATTCTCTAAATAGCATTCGATATTTAAATCTTCCAAAGAAAATTCATAATCTTGTTGTTTAATAAATTCCAAACTCTCGCGATGATATCTATCACCACTAATAACTATGTTATCTAACAATTGTGGACTCCAATCAATCAAGCGATAAATTCTAGCCGCACAACAAGCCAGCACATTGCACGCCAAGTACTGCCTGCCACGCGATTTCATATCAAACACAGGAGCTTGTGGATGTACATTGCCCCAAATTGACCATAAACGTCCATCTATTTCTATATCGTATTTCTTATGTTTGGAAATTGGTAGATTACGATAACGACCGGCAACATTGCGGCGATGTAAACGACTCCATACTGGTAAACAATTTTCTAATTCTAACCAGCTTAATGTTTCATTATGTGTGCATATGTTCGCCTCATCCTCACCATCTGTGGCAATTCTACATTCAATAGGTAATGAAACGTCAGTAAGTAATTGCAGTATACGTGTTGTTGGAGCTGCTTTCTTATGCGATAATATATCAACTACGTGGAACTTAAACTCATTATATTCTTGCCAATCAGAATTTGCAGCTCTTTCATCAATATAGGTCAACATATCATTTACATCTGCAAACAAAACCCAAGAAGCCGTATTGCGCTCTCCAAAACGTTTAATGTCCTTTGGAATCTTTTTCTTTTCACCTTGCCCGTCTTCGTCTTCTTCACCGTCATCCTTCTTTTTTTTCGATTTATTTCGTTTTTGTTCTTCCTCACCTTCACCTACTTTTTCCATGGAACCATAAGGATCAAATAAGTGATAATATTGGTCATGATAAATAGCAAAAGTGGTATTCGATATTTGAAACAATAAATAGTTTCGAGTATTTGTAACTCGTTCTATTTTACGCGAAATGGGCATGTTTCTAGCACCAAGTACATCAAAGGTTTTTATCCATACATCGAATAAATAATCATCGACCGTAACGTTTTTGATAACACGTTCATATGCAGTTGTCATATTCGAAACTTTATTGGCTATTAAACGTCCACTCTCAAGCACACGATCAACACGTTGTGCATTCCATTCATTTAATGGACGTAGAATTGCATATAAAACTGCCAATGTACTAACAAAGAAGCATGGCTTTATTTCCTCAAGCGATGATATATCGCGACCCTCCATAGCTGTACTTCCTTGAATTTTATATAGATAATCTTTTTCACGTAAACGATATCCATACAATATTGGTTTCGGTTTATATAGATCCAATATTTCACGTTGTAACTTTTTACCAGGTTTATGTTTTAATTCAATTTCTTCTTCCTCCTCTTCTTCTTCTTCTTCCTCTTCTTCCTCCTCGAACTCTTCTTCCCATTCACTCTCAGCATCTGTTTGGGTTCTTCTACCTGTTAAACAGAACGTAATTAGAATATAATTAGAATATAATAAATTAGAATATAACAAATATAATAATTGATTGATCTGAGAGTAATTTCGATTTTGAAAATTATTGGATTAGACAAAAGCTAATATAGCCTCTGATATTATATATATCACAGAATGAGTGTAAGTTATTCTTTTACTTTTAGCTTAAAATTTCTGTTAAAATAATTTCTTTACTAGACCCCTAGAACCATCTTCACGATGGCATGAATAGATATTTATCTTACCACGCGTTAAAAACCGGCAATCCAAAATTATGATTTTAAGCAATAACTCACTACGTAAACACTCATCTTTAATAAAAAAATATATTGTACTCACTTTTTAGTACACCACGTTTAGTTTTCGTTTTACGAGCGGCAGCAACTTCCTCTTTCTCTTTGAGGAATCGCTGTATGCGCTGAGTCTCTTTACGAAGCTCATCATCAATAAAACGCATTTTGTCAAATTTCTTCTGCTGTATTTGCTTCTGCATTTGATAATCAGTTTGGTAAATTAAGTCCTGTTGCGACTTCGGCAACGACTTAAACTTCTCATCACTAATATGCATAACTTTAAGTCCAACAATTACATAATTCGTTATCTCACAACCTTGTGGATTGCAACCATACTCTATACGTCGTATTAAAGAATCCAACTCTAGAAAACGAAGCAAACAACCTGGCCCAGCGCCATATTTACGATAACCAACAGTATCTGAGGGGAATCCACTAAACATGTAGAGGAAGTTATAACGTTTTATGATCAAACAAGAAAAGTGTTGACAAATGACGAGCAGAAGCTTATAAGAAATCAGACAATCAAGCAACACTTGTCTTATTGGACGCGTGACTGCTGACTTTATATATTTTATCACTTTTATTTCAAACTGATCCCGACCAATGGTTATGTTTGGTAGTTTTTTAGCAAGTAATGCTGCTAAGGTTTGCTCATAATTCTGGTAATCTTCATTGAAACTATTCGCTGACTCCAATGCAAACTCAATTAATTCACTGTTCCAAGTGGATATTTTATATTTGGACGTCAAGGCTGCTGTCACTATACATGACAACAAACCGCTTAGTTTACTAACATCATCATTGACCACTGGCAATGGTGAAGTACCAAACAAAACCCACGCATTATCCGGCAACATATCGAAATTGCTCGGTAATGCTAACTCATCCGCTAAAGTTAGTTGTGCCTTTCCTTCTGGTTTGGTTGGGAATGAAACATAGAAGTTGTCATAATCATCGCCATGTTTTAAATTATACTTTAGAGACTCAAGGTAAGCCTTATCAGAACGAAGTAACACCTTTTCTGCTTGTTTATATGGTGAATAACGAGTATATGGTTCCTTTAGGGTATTCAGCACTTCAAAAATAATTTCTTCTATTAATGAGTTGACAACATCAGCATCTGTAAATTCTGGTATGCGTTCTTCTTCTGGTATGCTCTTAATGCTATAAGTACGAGCCAACTTTTTAGGTTTCTTCTTTTTCTCTGGTTTCTCCTCTTCCTTTTGATCTTGATAAGTGGGGTAGGTAAGCTGTAGGCGCTTATATTTATTATGACGATCTGCTAAGCTAAGCACAGGTTTAATACACCCAACGCTAATGCCATGTAAAAAGAATTTACCACCTCTTCGCATTTTTATAGCTTTCTGATGAAGTATGCGACAAAATGATTCGAATGTTGTATGAATTTGCAAACAAGCAACTCCTTTTGTAAGATAATCTTCTGGATCTAATACTTGACCAGCAATGCCACGTCGAAATGGATCAAACATGTAGAAATATTCTGAATCTCGCCATATTGCGACAACGGAATTATCAATTTGTAAAAGTCCAGCTTCCCATTTACCAGAGAAAAAATCTTTCACTGTTGCCACAAGATGGGATTTTATAAAATCAGTGCAGTCTGCTACATGGCCGGTATACAGAAATGGACGTTTTTTTAAAGAAGCTCTAAACACACCCATTACAAACACTTCTGGCAAATCGACGATATTGAAATGTGGCTTTGGCTTCGGTTTCGCTTTTTTCTCTATTCTTTTCATGAAACTTTTATAGTACGCTTGACCATATTTAATCAGCTCATCTAACACCTCCATGCGCCATATTGTTGGATGTTCAATGTCCGAGTATAGTAGTGCTAATGTTGATATGACCATTGATGGATTTCGTTCATTTGGCGTCATTGGCTGATGTAAACCACTATTACCAGAGGGTATTAACGCATACGTGTTATTCACAACAGCCCATAATTTACGTGTTGTCTTTCCTACTTGCTTGGTTGGAAGAGGGACAGTAATCTTGCCATAATTAATTAAATATATTTCATACAAATGAAAATCGCTCGTCAGTTCTAAGTTACAGAAATTAACTACCAATTGTACAACATATTCAATATGATTCATTAACATCAAGCCTGCAAAACCATCAGTAAAATTACGTAAACAGGTCTCATCTCTACCATTAGGATCAAAGATGTAATATACGTCTTGACAATGTTTCCAGATTAATAAAAATAAATTTTCAGCAACTAAAACACAAGCGCTGTATTTAGTGAAAAATAGATGTAAAGCTTTGTAAATGTTAGGTTCACTTGTAAGCGGCCCAGTAAAATGCACACGTAGACCAATAGCAGCCTGTTTTTCTGGTATAGTTGGTATTATATCAAAATCAGAATCAGAAGATTTATAATTAAATGCTGTAGATTTCTTGACAAGCTTTTCGCTTGACATTAATATATTGTCTATGATTTGATTAGTCCAAAAATCGGGACTGAATCGAAAACTTTCTATGTAAGCAATAAAAATGGCAGCTATTTCCCTGGGACGATTAAAATATCTACAAAATGTGAATAAAATAAATACAAAATTTTTATGTTTATAAAATTTAGTAATTACTTCCGTTTTGTTACTATTTCTGGATCTATTTTAACAGTGCCAAATACTACTTGTGCTCTGAGTACATCCGGTAGGTCTCTGGGTATGCTATACAATGTTAATTCCCAATTAAAATCTACGATTAAAATCTACACATTAGCAGTCACATATTAAACTTTCATAGTTAACGAACTTACTTACCCAATTTTGCTATAGTAGCATCCGCTAAAGCACGCTCCAGTTCACTACTAGACTGTTGCATACCAATATGCCAAGTCCATAGATCTTTGGGATGTGATCCTTCAATGAGATCTATACTTTGTAAATTTTGAGCATCGAATTGTTCCTGTAAACTACGTGGATCGTATTTGGAGTAATCAAAATTATCATCTAAAAATTCTGGAGGATCGGTTTCATTATGGAACATTCCACTTTTTGGACGGTGTAGTTCAAGCTAAGAAATTCGGAAAAATAATTTCAGAATTATTTTTTTATATAAATTTATATATTAATTTAATAATCATATAACTGAAATTAATAGTAGATAGTATATGTAGGTACTTTACTTTACTTTCTTTATATTTGTAATTTTTTAGAGAATTTAGTACATTAAAAATTGTAGTAGGGAGGGAGCTCTATAATTTTTAAATAAACACCATGATAAATACTTTCTTCAAAAAAGACATTGTAAATACTAGAAAGTTTAAAAATGATTTTTAAAATCAATTAGTTTTGACATCTGAACGCGTGGTGAAAATGAGTCAGCAAATTACGGAGAACATCGGCTGTTAGATTCTAATTCCATCGACAAGGATAAAAAGGTTTGAGTTAAATTTAAGCTTCATAAATCGGATTATAAGTTTATTTTTTTGGATCGAAAACGAGTCTGTTAAATATATATATATATATATGCACTTGTAGAATCTGAAAAATAGCAATATTGAAGGGTTCCAAGACGTAATGAAATATGCCACCAAAAATTTCTTAAAAACATCAAAAAATACACCCAAAGCTTTAGGGACTTTCTATTTTGAGGATCTTGGCTAACTGCTAAGCCTCCTTGTGAATAGCATCATAAGCGTTGCTAAAGGTTCTAAGTGAATCTAACTCTTAGGTTTTTAAATAACACGGTAACACAATGGACCTATAGACCCTTGGGATCGCCAGTAACACAATGGATCCCTTGGGATCGCCGGTATAACCTAACCTAAAGCTACACTCAAAGCTTCGAAATGTATTTCTGTTTCTAAAAGCTACCTTTGCAGTCGACACATTGATTATTAAAAGGTAAGACAAGCAGGAGATCGAAGATTTTGAATTGTTAGGTTATCGAAGAGTGCTAGGAATTTCCCAAATAGAACTGACATGTACATACTTGAAGAACTAAATGTAAAAACCAGAGTTTTGAAAATAATCTTCAATGCATATCTTTTTTATTTCAGTCACAAGTCATCAACTTGTGGGAACAACTTGTTAAAAAAAGAAAGATGACGGAATTTAGAAACGAAAACGCGCTGTTAAGATCACGAAACTAGAAAAAGAATATATTATTATATATATATAATTTTTATATTATAAAATGATATTATAGTATATTATTATAATATGTTATTATATTACATTATTATACTATATATTAAGCTAATTCATTGCATATATCACAAAAACACTCGACAAATAAAATCAAACAAGTATGTACAGATTTGATATAACATGATTTTTTCTTTCTCAAATAATAACAAATCATGAGTCACAAAATAAAGATATATTCAAAATTTTAATGGTGACGAGTTCTAACAAATGGATTATGCAGGAGTTGTCAAGATGAAGAGGAGGTGGAATCTATCAACCACTTTCTGTTTCTCTGTTGAGGACTTCAGACAAGGAGATTTCAATATCTTAGGGATCGCTTTTTAACTGGCTTAGAAGAGATAAAGAAAGCAAATTTATCGGATATCCTCAACTTCATCTGGAAAACTAAATGGTTTAACAAGAACAACAAAGGTTAGCAACTCGCCTTTCCTCCGAGTGGAAGTGTTGATAACTGTCAACACACACCTTCTCAATCTAACCTTAACCTATATATCTATTACAAAAATTGTATAAAATTAATTATTTATATTTTTTTTATAACAGAAATTCTTTTATATATATATATATATATAATTTTTTTTTTTAAATTTTATTTTACATGATGTCTCTATTTTAATTTTTAACTTCTAAACAAAATTAACTTTTAGAAGTGTTCATTTTTACTTCAGTTTAAATAATTAGCCATTAAACTCTGTTCTGCAAGAACTTAAGAGTTTCGTCACATTATAAATAGCACGCATACGCCACCATACGCCAGAAGACAACATGTCATGCTGCCCATTAATGCGAATATTACACACAGCATGCCGCATAAATGTTTAAACGATCAACTTGACTCGCTGTGCTGCTTATAAGCAATAAACTACAGTTGTACGTTGTACGTGTATTAAACGTATACATGAGTTCATACACTTAATAATATGCAGCTTGCAACTAGTAATATGCGCTTAACTCACGCAATGTCATAGTAAAAAGAATGTTTGAAGTAACAGCAAAACACGAAGAGCGCCGAACACTATACACGACACTGCACAAAATACTTACTCAAAAAAAAAACATCAACACACACAAACAAGCTGCCACTCTTATAAAATCTAAAATACCGTAGAATCAAAAAAAAAAGTAAATATATGTGCAACCACTACACTTGCACTAGAATTACTTACGCTTAACGCCAATGCTATGTCACATCGTAACATTACGTATGCTAGTCTGCTTCTGCTAACGACACGACACATTCACTCATATCAGCGATTTGTGCTCATATCAACAAAATTGGCCAACAGTTCTCGTACTCTTTAGCAAGAAAAGAAACAACAACAAAACAGGTGTTTTTACTTTTAACTGCGTTTTGCGTTCTGTGTACTTTGTTTTGTTATTCATTTATTCATTTAATGCTATTTTGTGCTTTATTTGCACACAAACTACGTGGCTACGACTTGTACACACAAATATAGACGCAAGCTGCTTGCTATACTTGCTGTGTTTTATAAGTCGACTATGCTTAAGTGTGGTAAAATGTTTCATTAGGTATAACGTTTTCAACCAGTTTGAATTGTTTAATTATTTTATAAACGTTTATTTAGTTGTTGACTAAATTTGTATTTTACAGTGCAAGTTTGATTTTATTAATTTTGTTTATCTCATTGTTAATGTATTATTTGCTACTGTAAGTATTGTATTATTAAAGTATCAAATTTCATTGTGTTAACATTTTAACATTTTTCTGTTTAATATTGCTTATAAGTGCTGGATTGCTTGCTGGTACGTACGCTAGCTTTACGGTAAGTAAGCACTTAAACGTTCATACGTGCTTTTATTAAACGTGTATGTATGTGTGTATGTGTGCTTCAGTTTATATGTGTAAGTACTCTTCATAGTTGATTTTAAAAACAAATAAATGGCAAAGTGTTTACTTAAATATTTCCATTATTCAAATTTTTTTTTTGTTTTTTTCATTCGCGAAATTCACAATACAAACGCAGTAAGCAATACAGGGTCATTAAAAATCATATTACGTAGCTAACAAAGTAATTTTATTTTTTTATATTAATTTATTTTAACATTGAAACTATTTTATAGTAAAAAGAGTTAAGTGAATTGTTTTTTATTTTTCTTATCTTACTCTCTTTACTGCAGATTCTAATTTTTTATATACAGATATGTTAAAAACTTTAAATTTAATTAAATAAAAACTTTTTTTTAATTTACTTTTCGACCTGTTTATTAAAATGGTATTTATATATATTTTTATTCTGCCTGTAAGTCACTTCTTGTTAAATAATAAAGCTTTAATATATTTTATTAAACTCTATACTTCGACTCTCTTTGAGAGTCATCATCAGGATTCCGATTATAAGTTGCTATTATTAAAAATGCATAAACGTCCTCCTCTTTGTTCTATCGTCTATATCAGGGCTGTCCAAAGTTAGACCCAGAGGCCACATGCGGCCCGCGGCTAAAATGTACTGGTGTACTGGTAAAACCACATTATTTAATTTTTTTGGTATGCCATATAAATGAATTTTAATTGATAAATTCATAAAACTAAATTTAACATCATAACCATATTTATAATGTTATAATGTATTTATAATAACAACTATGAACATATGTATTTATTTCTACGGCCCTCCAATCTGTACAGTAATTTGTATTGACCCGCGATCACTTCTGGTCTGGACAGCCCTGGTCTATATTATACTCAAATATACAAATATTTTTTTGTTAAATCAAAATTTTAATGACCCAATTTACACTATCATGAACGTAACATGAATATGAACTTGAAAACCGGTTTCCGATAGATAACAGAGAAGAGATTGTGATGCTTTACAGGCATATATATACAATCACGGTTGCCACATATGGTACTTTAGTACCAAAATTAGTACTTTTTTCCGTATGGTATGAATTTGTGAATTTTGTTGCAAATATTATTATAACATCCAATTAAATTTATTTATAGATGCAACTGTCCACTATGAAACTAATATCATATTATGTATTGATTCAGTAAAAATATTGAAGCTGCAAAATTGGATATTTTTTACAGAAATGGTATATTTTTGAACCAATTTTGGTACAGAAAAAAATTTTCAACTGGCAACCGTGTATTATATACAATGTTATGTTATGTTACAAAACAAATTTCACTCTTCATGACAGTTCATGATAGTGTAAACTGAACTGTCAGTTCATGTTGTTGTCAAGTTCATCTCACGTTCATCTCACAATGTAAAATAGCAAAGTAATTAAATTGCTATTACGAATCCATGACCCGGTATTATTGCCGTTGTAATATTTATATGTATGTATGCTCAGGATTCATACCTCAGGATTCATACAATTAAAACATTTTTAATACCCAATTAATGTTTAATAGTTTAATAAGTTGTAATCCTAGAGAAAACTTTTGATAACTGTAAGTAATTTATTATTAACAAAACAGCACTTTATTTATAGAACATTAGTGTTAACATAGAACGAAGTCAATTGTAAACCAACTATTTGGACCTTGTCGGTATGATATCCATTGTGAATCAAATCCTTTAAAAACTGAAGAACAAAAAATTGTCATACACTATTTCTTTGTCGAGTTCAAAACTGCTTTTTGTGTTAAGCTACACCACCTGCTCCATTTAGTTGGAAAATAGCTAATCCAGTCGTTCTACACCAAATAAGGTTTCAGACAAGGTGACTCCTTGTTGTGCGACTTCTTCAATCAAATTATTATACATAATTTTTTATTTTAATAAAATATTGTTACAAAAGATTGGTAACAAATTATTTCAGAAACTCCAAGAGCTTTTTAAACGAATCTACAAATTTTGCAAATGTTTAATCTAATATCATCATCTTATATTAAAACATGCATTAACTTCATTCACAATAGAAATGACTGCTAAGTTGACATAAATGAATATTTGTTATTATTGTTCAATAAAAAGGAAACTTCTAAAGAAATATAAAAGTTTAACTTCACATATGTGTTGAGGAAACCTGCATAGATCACAAATATACAATACACTAACAACAATCTAAACAACAATTAACCTACTCGGCCTGTGATAGTATTTGCAATGTGTATAGTCACACATACTATATATGACACGATACTCTATATTACGATGTCGTTAGCTGTGCTTTGTAATATAGGAAAAGATACTATACGCAGACATATACGCTCTACTGCGCTACACTTAGTTATTCTGGTATCTCCAAGTAATAATTGTTGGAGAATTCTTATAATTTTTTTTTCCTTATTAATATTTAATTCTTACTTTGCTCTTACCCCTTGGTTGTCTTCTGTCTATTAATAATAGAGATTTCTTTTACAATAATCTCTGACTAGTTTAGTAAACCTTATAAACTATAGTGTCTAATAATAACGTTTCGCAGTACCGTGGTGAATCTTTTTGCAAATACCAGTTGGTATTAAAAAGGTATTTGACTTCTTTCTTTTTCTTAAGTCGTACAACTAATTATCGGTGTTTTAAAGACTCAATTCTAGTTATAATTTTTTTTAAAGTTGCATAACCAACATTCTCTTACCTTCCCCACTGTATCGAGATCATTTCTAAGCAGATTATTACCTATAAATTCACTAAAAGGATTTTCTATGATCTGACCTTAGAATGTTCTCTACTCAGACTCACCCCCTCAAATGTAATATTTTGAAAATCTGTTCTGTTGGCTAACATAATGTACGCAGATTTTACACGATTTCTTATTTTGTTCTCTATTTTAATGGCATTAAATATCTACCTTGTTGCAAAATCTAATATCTAGCATAAGTACAATTTTATCATCTATCTCAAAAATACCATTAAGAACACTAAATATGTTACACTAAATTCAAGCAAGTTGATTTCACAAATAAACTTCATAGATACAATCACATCAGTAATAAAGTTAAAGTAGATTTTTATAAGCAACATATTCGCACCTAATCTACATTGTGACCGAAAGGTTTTCGGAAGTTCTCATTTAAAATTCGCGCGCTGTATATTTTTCGATATTTTAAGTTTATGTAGTTTGGCAGCACTGTCCTTAATTACTATGCCAAAAATGAGCGCGATCTGTCAGACAGTTCGTTTACGGCAGCTGTTGAAACCAGTTCCCCTCAGTAGTGCGTTGCGAAAAAACAATGGAAAAAAATATTGAACAAAGAGTTTGCATCAAATTTTGTGTTTCGAACGAAATTTCGTGTGCAGAATCGTTGCGAATGCTACAAAAGGCTTATGGGTAATCAGTTTTATCGAAAACTCAAGTTTATGAGTGGTACAAAGCCTTTCAGGACGGTCGTACGACCGTCGAAGACATGCCGCGTTCTGGACGACCTTCGGCCTCTACCACCGACGAAAACATTGAAAAGGCAAAGGAAATCGTGTTCCAAAATCCTCATGTGAGTGTTAGAGAGATAGCACGAGAGCTAGGCATCGGTCGTGAGAGCTATCCGCCGTAAACGGCCTCAATTGTGGAAGGATAATTCATGGATTTTTCATGACGATAATGCTCCCTCGCACCGAGCCAACATTATCAACGATTTTAAGGCCAAACATTCAATAAATACCATCAAACAGCCACCGTATTCACCTGATCTTGCACCGTGTGACTTTTTCCTGTTTCCCAAACTCAAATTACCACTCAGAGGAACGCGTTTTGAATCCATAGAAGACGAAAAACAGAATTCGCAGAGGGAACTCAAAGCCATACCGGAAAGCGCCAATAAAAAATGTTTTGATGATTGGAAGAAACGTTGGCATTTGTGTATCGCTTCTAATGGAGCATATTTTGAAGGAGATAAAATAAATATTGATGAAGATTAAGAATTTTGCGTTTGTACATTGTGACCGGAAACTTTTCGGTCACAATGTATATGACTCTTCATCATATGAAACTCATTAGGACGTTTGGAACAAAAGCTCTCCATCATAACTCCAATAATAAGTGCAGATCTTATAAAACGCAATATTTTAACTCCTTTGTCCATAATTTTTTCAATGATTGCTTACTCTTTCTATACAGAAGATATTAACGATTGCTTACTCTTTTTTGATAGAAGATACGCCATACGATGTCTAACCTATCCATTAATATCATTAATGTTAAATCACTTTCCCCTTGAGGTTACAACTAATAAGGCATAATCCTTTGCCATATAGTCTTTAAATGAACTACAATTTCAATCTAACCATACTTTGGTTCCTACATCACCTTCTTTGCAAGCCACAATATTGAGCATATTTTTTTTCTAGAATTTGCTATTGGTTTGATTTTGACTTTAATTTGATTGCAAAAGGGTGTTTGTCAAAATTTCATCATGCACTGCGACCATAAATAGATCTATTACACCTATTCTAATGGTTATGTAAAGATTATCCCATTCGAAAGGCCTTTTTCAGACATAGTCAATTAAAAAATTTCCCTCGAAGACCCAACCCAACAAATAACTATAATGTTGAAATCCTTTGGTACTCCTTACTCTTGTACGCCTTTCCCATATGTTCTACAATCAGCTCTGTTAACACCAAATAACCCCGACCTTTGCAAGAAAGCTCAAATTACTCCCATCGACATGCAAGCCGACCGACACCCTCGCTTGGCGGTACCTTACCTAGATCCTACCCTCGACGTCTTAACTCCTTGCACCTTTTCCTTTAACCGCTTGTTAGCTATGCGCCTAAAGCCCACACCAATACGTCATGTTATACTTTAACGAGACGCATTCACTCACCTCTACAACCGTAGTTCTCGTTACCACGCTCATAGAACCCTCAACTAATGCACCCCCGCGCTTTGCAATAACCCCACCCCCTCAACCAATTCCCTTTTCCCCTATATCTTTCTGCCATTTGGTTTAGATAAACCTAAAATGTTAGGTTCTAAGTCTCTTGATTTTGACTCTCTCCTCTAATTACTGGAATGAAGTAGTGGTTAATGTCTCACAGTGTAGATGCTTCCCACCTACGGCAAATAAATAAAAGCATAACAAAAAATAAACTTATAAAAATTAATTGTTTACAGCATTTTATATGGTTTTGCAGTACGTTTATACTAACACAATTAACGCGAGTAATGTCCACCATTAAGCGTCATTTTCTATACAAAATCCATACAAAACTGTACTAATGAGGTTCGATAAATGTAAATGTAAACATATTTATTGTTAAATAATTTTTTTTTCCACTTCAGTACTGCTAAACTTCTGCGATCTACTTACTATGTCAAAAGAAGGTTTCATTTAATATTTGTATATACAAATAAACAATAAGTATATTTTTCATTTTAATTAAAAATAAAAAACTAAACTTATTTACCATTTGATTTAAAAAAAAAATTGTTGAATTGTGCATCACTAATCTTTTGTATATCCAGAAATCGTACATACATACCATATATGTATATGTATGTACGTTTATATTATTACGGGTATTATTAGTATAAATAGGATTGTGCATTTAGCTTTGCTTGCATATTCACACTGATTAGTAACATTAAGTTTATAACATAACATAAAAACAATAAACATTTCAATTCATCACAAAAATGTTACCCCCTCTCTCTGTACACACTCTGTAATGTTGTTGTGACTTTCTCAATTTACATTTTAACTTATTTGGAAGACTAGTTTTTTTGTGATTTGGTTTTGTCAAAAAAAAAAATAAAATAAAATCTAAAAAAAAGTCAAATAAACTAAGGTGGCATATGTATGTATTATTAAAACATTTTGTTTTTTTTATTTTTTTTTATTTTTTTTTATTTTAAAAGCTTGTTTGAAACACAGTAAATGTTTGCAAAAAAGAAGGAATATATATAAAAATACATACATACAAATTTGAAGCAAAGTATATCATTGAGTAGTTATTGTATGTACAATATATGCACTTACAAACTTACATGCATGTATGTATGTACATATTTTTGAAATAAAACCAGCAAGCATTACGCATTGGAGTTGAACTATTAGCTTTAACAGCATTGTTATTGACAATTCAACAACAACAACAACAACAACACAACAACAACAACAATAAGAGCGTTGTTTTGACAATTTAAATTTTTGTTCACAAAAAAAAAATAAACAAAAAAAAAAAAGAAATCAAAAAGCAGAAGAAATTAAATCTTGTAGCATTGTGCATATAAATATTTTTAAGCAAATTTAGTTGAAAATTTATTTTGTAATACAATAGTAAATAAATGCTACATGTTTATACAATTATACAATTTATTTATAGTATTAATAATATATAAAATTATAATTTTTAATAACAATACACGTTTAAATTTCAAATAAAAAATAATTTTATTAAAAAAAATGCAATAATTATTTTTGTTTAAAAAAATACAAATTCCAAATCCTTAGTAAGTTCTACTGTGCTAAAGTGTTAAATAAACCGAAATTTATAAAAATTATACATGCATATTTGCTTAAAGCTAAAGCGTTTATAATAACATTACGTGCTTTTTTGTTGTTGCTGGAAGCGTGCTGACATCGTTATCATGTTACAAATTTTATATCAAAACAGTATTTGGTTTTGAGCATCAATAAACGGTGAAAAAAAAAATGTTATAAACAACAAAAAAATCTTAAACTATCTCCTACAAGGTAATAACTTTTTTTTATAACACAAGTAGCAATATTACGAGTTTTCTATGAATTTTTTTTTAAATAAAATTAGAAAAAATTGTACATTTATTATAAAATACTTATTAAAAATTTTAAAATAAATTTTTATGAAATATTTAAACATAAAGTACATAAATTTTTTAATAAACTTACATATATCAAAAAACAAAACCCAAAACAAAAACAAAACCTTAAATTACATAAGAAACGGTCGCAAATAATGCTTTTATCAAGCATAACAAGTGCATTTGAGCAACGTAAACATGGAGACATCCATCCACTAACATAAAAACTAACAACAATGCTAACTAGCAACAACAACAACAATATGCAATAGCCGCACCACCGTCAAACTTGTCAACTAAACTTGGTGCATAAACCATATAAATTCATGTTTTAAACACCTCTTTCTTTACAACAATAACAAAATGAATAGCGCTCTATTCTTTTTGTTCTGTTTTTCTTTCTAATACACACATATACATGCATGTTCGTTCGTTTGCATGTGTTAGTTAGTATTGCAGCCAAGCTAGCAAGGTGCTGTGGGATTACTCAGTGCTTTGTATTTTTTTGTATTGTTGTATTGTTGTAACCTCCTCGCATACATATACAGGTGCCGCTTTTTCATTTGACATGAAATTAAAGAGTAAGCAACAACCACACATTAGTAGCCAAATAGTACTCAATAAGTGTGCAATTGTTTTAACGTTTAAGGTGGTTTTTAATAAATTTTTATAGCAAATAGAACAGTTAATAAAATTATTGAAATTTAAATAATTTGTTATAAATATAATTATTAAAATATTTATAACTATTATAACTGTAATAACTGCATTAAGGTAAGCATTATTTTTGTATAAATAAAAATTATAATCAAGTCTGCGTTTGTGGAAATCGGAAGTCTTTTGCACATATGCCGCATTGGCACACAACGTGCGCAGCAATGATACATAAGCACAAATAAGACACGTTTTTGTTATTAAAAATAGTTTAAGAATTTTATTTAGAAATATTTTCGAACTTAGAAGAAAACACAATTGAATATATATTTTTCGTATATTTTAGATAAATACAATTGTCAATAATAAAAGTTTGCGTTATAAAAAAGAACATGTCAGAAAAAGTTATAGCAACAACTTCGCAAAAGAAAGCTGCCGTTAATAATAATAATGGGGTAAGTAAGAATTTTTTTGTATTTAATTTTTAAATTATACCTATATATGTATATACACACACATGTAACTTTATTTATATTTGTTTATTTTTTTAAAATGTTTTTATTATTCATACATACATATACTCAAATCTATTATAACAAACGCACTGAGGGTTAGTTTTGTAGCTCGGCAATAGACTTACAAAAAAATGCAAAAACAGAAACAAAAAAAAAACAAAAACAAAAGAAATATGTATATTGAAAATTGTGAACGAGTCGAGCAACAACACGTGAACTCATACATCTACATTATTTAACATGTTTGTTAGTGGTATTAACGTGGCCTAAAACGTTATGCCATGCAGTCGTTAAAACATTCCAACTAATAGGTATGCTGCTATTTGCTTGTGTATGCGTGTTGTTGGCTATTTGGAACTTGTATGCCATAAGAGTCATAACGAACAATAACGTATGTACGTTACTTGCAAGTTAGCAAGTTATAACGTCACGTTCGCTAGAGCACAGCACTAAAAAGCTATATTCTCGTTGTTTGGCGTAGTCCGCACAAATAGTATGTAATTGTTATTGTACAAGCATATTGTACAATTTTGTTGTTGTCTCATATTCGTTAGTATTGTTGTTGCCTTTATTAGTCTTGTTCTTGTTGCTGTTGTTAGTGTTGTTGCTTAGCGAGTATTTGTTCTTATTGTTTTCGTTATAACTTAGCCATTTCGGCGCATAGAAAATACTATTGGAATTAGTGTGCTAATATGCGAGTTTATGAGTGAGCAGGCAGTAGGGTCACCACTATTAGAACTCTTAGAACTCGTAAGTAATATTTATGCGAGTGGTTACATTTTTACGACAGGCCATAAGGAGGCCGGCAAAGTATCGATCTGTTCTGAACTAATTAAAAAGCTCGAATGAATTGAATTGTACAGAACTAAGATTTACAAAACTCATTTAATTATTGTTTTTACCTTGTATATGTGCAAAATTAATTTGTTTACCAAGTAACAATGAAATTATGTTTAAGTTGCAATTGTGCCGAATATAGAGAAGTTAATTAAGTTAATTAATATAGAAGCCCTTAGTCATTAAGGAAAACAATCTAAACTGAAATGCAATTTAATTAAATAGAAGGAAAGTACAGTAATCCCTCCTATAACGCGGTTGATTGGCTGCGCGTTATAGGAGAACGCATTATAGGAGTAATCCCGTATACCCCATATACACCCCGTATACACACGTGCCAATTATGAGTTGTACAAATCTCCGCGTTATATAGAGGAATGCTCGTGTTATACGGGGGATTGAAATCGCATAAAATGAAAACGCGTTAAGGGGTACCGCTTTATAGGGAGGATTACTAGGTATATTAATAAAATCAATTCTTTTAGAAACTATATTATAGCTACATATGCAGAAAATCATAAAAGGATAATATAAAATATTAGGAAGTAGAAAGGCAAAATATATATACATATTAATTAATAAGTTCATAAAATGACTAATAAAACAAATGTCAAAACAAACAAGTACCAGCTTATGTAGTTCCTTTTGAAAACTGCCTTGGTTTTTTCGCGTTGATCATGGTTTTCAATTGAACTTCCACCCATCCTCAAATTCATTTTAACTCCTAAATAAACCCCTCTCTTCTTACACCACCATCACCTATCTCATCTTTGTAATTCCTTTGTTGTTATTGTGGTAACCCGCAAGGATCTTCAAGACAGATAACATGAAAGGTATCACATGACGAATATATAAGTTAAAATATGGATGGGTATTGATGAAGATGAAGGTGGTGGTGATAACATGAAAGGTATCATATGATGTATATATAGGTTAGGATGTGGATGGCTAATGGTTAAGGTAAAGTTGGCGATGAGAGTAAATGAAGTGGAAAGATTTGGAAGTGGGTGTGGATTGGGGATTGTAATTCCTTACATATTATCTACTTTAAAGTTTCTGGCAAGCTACACCAACAACAACAATAACTAAAAAACAATAACTTTTATTCAAAATTTTCAGCACATTAATCTCTTCCAAGAATAAAACATTCATTTCAATGCAATTTATTTTAAGGCCTTTTTGTAGTACCATATGTCTTTTTCCCCTTAAAATATACTTTATTTTTATATATATTATATATTATATATTATATATATTATATATATTAGTTATATATATTATATGAATTTATTAACTACCTATACCCTATGTCCTTTTCAAGTTACGTAATATATTTTCACTTGCAATATGTAAATAATCCATAATTTTCTAAAACGCAAAATAAGGATTGATCTCATACACCTATGCGACCTTGAGAAGTTTTTAAAAAAGTTTTCGCATAGTTTAGTATATATTGGTTTTAGTGAATTTAAATTTGACTCATACTTTGATACTGTTGAAAATGGGATAAAATCAATACAGGAACAATATTTTTCTTATATCATTTTTTTTTTCTACACGCACACACAGAACCAGGCAGGGTTCATGTCCTTACCAATGGATACTTTGATAAACTGTCAAAAAACTGTCCCTAAAAACCTATTTCTTCTGGAAACCTGAACTGGACATTTACAAAGAAAATGTCTACTTGATTCTTTTTCTTTAAGATTTCACCACTTTTAGAATGAATATTTAAAGAGAGATTGTTAACTTAATAGTAAGTATATACTCTTAGAAGATCTAAATATGGAAAGGAAAACTAAATAACCATTGTTTCAATGTAAGAGGCATTTGATTATATGTCCATTTTAATCATTTTATAGATAGTTGTTTCAGGCGTAATATCATATTTATTTACTCCTGAAGTGAAATATTTATATCATATTTACTGAAAACTACTGCTCTTGTTATTATTGCAATATACATATGATTGTATTCGGAAATATGAATTCCAATAAATATTAAGTTTGCTAGGAAGTAAATCCATTGTTTATAAAATATAAAAAAAATGTATTATTATTTTAGTTTAGTTCTCCCACTACGATAGTCACTCGCACTAGAGAATAGGATTTGTTTCAGTATGCTCGCGTTCTAACACGTAGGTAGGCGTCTGAACTTTAGTCGCTAAGATTCCGCAATTAATAGAAATATTATATTGAAATATATCTATATTTATTATCATGACTGCTCAATAAGATAAAATTATTTTTAATTATTTGTAAACCGATAGGTCTATTTTATTAAACAGCACTAATTAATAGAACATAACACGATAACTTCTAAAGAACATAAAGAAATAGGATCTAAAAAAGTATCGACATCACAGTATTACAATATGGAACTTTAACCCACTAAAATCACCTCTTAAGAATAAATGGAAAAAATTTCAACCGCTGACCCAGATTTCCAATAATTTGGATAGAGAGTTAAGATAAAGGAGCTTAGTACTTAGAAATCTTAGTCTTGATATTATATTTATAGTGATCATCTAAAAAAGATTCCTTTATAGAGTAGGTGAAGAATATAACTCATAAAAATTGCACATTATTTTCAAAGGGAGAGACAAAAAATTGCTTGTTTTTATTTATATATAATAGTAAGTTAACTTAATATTAACTTAATACCCCTTTCTATATCATATAGTGTTTAACTATTTGAACAAAAAAATCGTCTTATATGAATAAATATGAATAAATTATTAGATAAACACATATAAGATTATAATGGAAAGAAAAATTTGATAGAATATGTGGAGTAAAAAATACGGCGAAAAATAGATGGAGAGAATGGGAGTGTGATGAGAATTGTTTTTTGGATCTCGCTCGGGTTGAAGTAAATAAATTTTGCCCACTCATTGTAGTGGATTCTTACATCATTCTTAGTCAAATGCGTTTGCGAATCCATTTGTATTGTTAAGCAAGATAATTAGTTAAGCAAATATGGTAGGTGCTATCATAAGATATAGAGTTGCAGTTAGAACACATATTAAGAATAGACGTGTATATATGTGGCACTATATGCTGATCTAAGTTGATTAATTTGAGTTTTTGCTTTTTGTATAGTTATGACATAAGTATAATCTGGAAGATAGGTGTGGATGTATTTCTGATATGAAAAAGAAATCACTGGATGCAAAATGGAAGAAGACCTCTACTGATACTTGTCTCTTCTATGTGAAGATAAAAAATGATTTTGCTTTTTTATAATGAATACAATGAATATAAAGAATTTATTTAAAGCTAATTTAACTTTAATCATATGCTATACTTAGCGTAAATAATTTTTATAAAATGCATAATTTGAATCAATTTTTTTAAACGTATATGTATATATTTAATAGTAATCGAATTCTTTATAAATATTTTTTATATAAATAATTATTATAAGAATTGTATAGATCATTAAATAAACTAAGTTAAATTTTCAGGCAACCAGACAACCTCGCGGTGAACGTAACATTTTGACACTTTACGAGAAGTTAGCGGTAATAAATTATTATGAGACCAACAACATCTCTAGAAATAAGCTATCGAAATTATTTAACTGCTGTCCAACGCAAATTAGACGTATACTGGAACGCAAAGAGGAATATCTGAAACAGTGCAGTTCACTCGATAAGGGCGAAATGATCAACGAAATACAAATAAAAAGGCAAAAGTTTGAAATGGCCGCTGTTAGTTTTATACTGTATCAATGGGTCGAACGTTGCCGTCAACTACGTCTTCGGCAAGTGATTACCAATTCAACGCTGAGGGAGACAGCACATAAAATGGCTGCAATTTTGAATTTACCTAATTTTAATCCATCGTCACGCTGGCTTCAACGTTTTCGTCACAAATATAATTACACTGAAAGCGATTTGGCAATTAAAGAAAACACATTAGTAGGAGAAGTATCCGTAGAAGATATTATAATAGAGTTTAAAGATTCACTGCCAAGTTTTATCAAGAATGAGATTAATCTTATCACGTCTACAGTTGATAGAATTGATCAAAATGTTGGAACACTTACACCTGAAGGAGTGAATGAAGGAGACAATAGTATTGACTTAACTAGTTCCGAAGACAGTGTCATAGTTGACATCGATCAAAATAGTGTCGACGATAGTGCACAAAATAATGTTAACCTGCCATCTTCAGATTCGAATGATTCATTCATTGATGTCAATAATAATAATCGTGCAGTCATAACTCTACAAAATATGATATTTCCACATTTGTCTATGATACATCAATTTGCTTTAGATAATGCCGATTTAACTGCCATTGAATTGATCTCACAATTGGGTTTACATATGCAGAATCAAGCATCACGGGGAGCCTACAAAAAACTTCCACAATGCACAATCGAAACTGATCCTACAGCTGTCGATAATTTCGAAGACATTATTTTAATAGATTAGATTTTAGCAATTTTCGCTCTATTCATCTTTCAATTCCATTTATATAGACACTTAACTATAAGCAAACTGCACTGAATATTCATAATTTTTTACCATATAAAGTACATATATTTCTTAAGTATGAAAATGGAATGATGAAATTTTTTTTTTTTTGTAATTTTGAATTAAAATAAACAGTGAAGCTATAATCACTTCTTGAAAAATAAAATTAATATTAAAAAAAAAAATTTTGTTTTAACACTTACCAATTTCTGTGGTGGTATATATATTGCTAAATCACTACATGGTGGACTGGCTAGTTGTGGTTTGATCGATTTCTCCTCCTCTTCTTCTTCTTCTTCTGCTACTTGTTCCTCCTCCTCCGATTCCCAGATTTGTATAGGACTATTAAGTTTAACAACGCTTGGAGCAACTGACACTGGCCTTGAGCCATCATGAGTTTTGGTGCCTAAACTGCTCTGTATTCTTAAATATTTTTCCCGCAAGATTGCATGTTGCTTTAGTTCCTTGGGTGTACGTTGTGGTATAACACAGGTAATGTAATCGTCGTGCAATTGACAAGGTCGCTTACCAGCACGTTTAAAACGTGACTCCTGTGTTTTGTGGTGCAAACGTCGTAGTTCATCTTCGATTGTTATAACTTTAGCAATTGTTGAATTCATTGGCATAGCACAAGTTCTGGGTGGACATAGAGGACTTTCGACTTTCCATTCCGGTATTTTGGTGCGATCACCCATAAAGGTGCGCACCTCATATGGATTTTTTGAAGGACTGGCATTGGTATTGAGTGGCACAAATTTTTTAAACATTGTTGCTTATTTAATTGATATATAGCGATGGGATAAATTATAAGAATGTCTTGAATTGTAAAAAATTCTTCAAAAGGTATTAACAAGTGATTTGGTTAAAATAAAACCTAATGCACCGCACTTATGTTTTTGAATTTTTGTTTATTGCCTAATGAAATTTTTTACCAATTTAACTATTAACTTAACTATTTTAAAAAGCACTGAAACAACAATGACATAAAATTTTGAACAGAAATATATTAACTTACTGTTTAATGCTACATATTTTAAAAATAAATGACAATTTTTTTTCATGTTTTAAAAAATTTTAAAACCGACAAAAAATATTAGCTTACTGGCAGCACTAAATAAATTATCAGCTGTGCAGGTAAATATATAGAGCTTTCTCGTTTACACTAACAGTTTTAGAGTAAACTCAAAATGAAATAAAACACAAACAAAACGGAACGCGTAACAAAAACAAAGAAGAATGAAGCAAAAGAATACCATATGAAAGCGAACAGTAATTAGAATTGGAAAACTAGTAATAAATAAAAAATATTTAAAGGTGACCATTAAAACTATTTTTCATACTTACATTTACTAACATTTCTTCGGATCTATTCACACGATATGGTTTATGTTAGGGGCATGTTCACATCACTGCTATTCTTGTTGCTTTCAATGCAAAACGATAATTTGATGACGACAGCTCACTTCATTTTGCATTGACAGCAACGACAATAGCCGTGATGTGAATGCAATCATAACATGCCCCTTAAACGACAGTCTTTGATAAACAAAGTACAGTTGCTGAAGTGTACCAATAATTTGACATATTATAGTTAGGACTTATCAACAAATAAATTTGGCTGCTATATAACAGTAATCCAACTATAAATTGATGTGTATTATGCATTGCTGCGAATGTATTGCTGTATAAAACCATAAATTTGAATATTGTCACTTTTCAAAAAAACTTGTGCTATTTTAATTTTAGTAAAACCTTTAATTTTCGAAGTAATTTAACATAAAGTATTTGTTTCTTTGTTATTTAGAACAAATTTGTGCATATATTTATTTGTAATACCTTTGTTGTCATATCTTTTCTAGTATTTTGTAATTATTTTATGATAGTTTAACAATTATAAGTGAAAACTTATTGTATGTATTTTTTGTCGCGGTAAAAAAGCACGAGTTATATCTTATAATTTTTTTAAGGATTTTGACTTTCTCTAACGTCTTTTTTTATTGTACATCAAAAAAAGACATATTCTTACATATTACCTATTCTAATATTTACATTGTTATTAGACATAAAGGAACTATTAATAATGATGGTTATTTAAGAAATTAATGGTTAAGTATATATTTTTTATCAAACTATCATAAGGAATGCATTGTTACATTTTATAACAAATATATTAAAAGATTTTATTTTAGAATTGCAAATGAATTTTATATACAAATGAATATAAACCCAGATTTGCTCATTAAGGCTATTAATGAGAAAAATTTACTATAAAAAATAATTTCATATAAGTGAGCTCATTATAAATATATCAACTTATCTGAGGCGAAAAATATCTAGTGCAACCCTTAACAATAAAATATTTAAAAAAATATAAAATGTTTTTAACATTTGAAGTATTGTGACATTTATGTAAAATGTAAAGAAAGAAGCTATTTCACATGCGTAAATCAGGTTTTGCCAATGGAATCGACCAAATCTTAATTTTGCGCTGAAACGAATTAGAATATGAAAATGTATTTCTTGTTTCCTATCGGCTGATGTAAAAAATTATATGCACACGTTTTTAATTTAATATCTTGCACTAATTATGTTTGGATTATAACATTATTTTGTTATTATTTTAATATTTAGATGTACATATAGTGAACACCCATTGGTTATATAATTTTATATAGATTATATTATTTCAAAATTAGAATTAAGGCAATGTGCAAGTTTGAGTAAATTGATGGTAAATTAAGGAAAATAGTAAATTGAGGGAAATAGTAAATTATATCGGTATGGCAGCGAATGTTGGTATTTACCAGAATTTCGAGTAGGGTAAATTAGATAAAAATTAGGTACATTAGATGTCACCCTTTTGGAAATTTTATAAGCTCTTATATAAATAAATAATTAAATTTGAACATTTTTAAACAAAAATAATAAATAAGTGCAATAAATAAATATTTACATAAGTACAGTGCAAAATATCTTTAGAAAATTTCAATTTATTTCACCTCAATTTACTAGAACTCGCACACGACCAACTATTTTTGGAACATTATACAATTATATTGTGTTTATTTATAGAAAAATATCTTAATATATAAATATATTAAATATAATGTTTAGCTGTACATATGGTTAACACTCATTAGTTCTATAATTTTATGTAGATTACATATTTTCAAAATTAGTATTAACTTTGTTTAAAATTTTTTCCTATATGTAATATCGCATGCTACGCACATTAAACATTTGCAATTATATGCCATATGGTCACCTTAAATGTAAATAAACTTGCTGATTTCAAGTCTCTGCATTTTCTTTGTTATGTAGCTGTGCAGTAGAAGTGCGAGTTCAGATAAACCGAGAAAATTTGTGAAATTAGTATTTTTATAGTTTAATTTTATAATATTTATTATTGTGTTAAAGAAAATAAAGTTTAAACAAATGATTGTGCATAAGCAAATGAGAATTTACAATAACAAAAAAACTGCGACGTAAAGTGATAAAAACCCCACACTAGAGGCATTTCTCTACATAAAAACTGCAAGAAAACACTAAAAATTAATTAAATTCAATTAAAGAATATTTTTAATAAAATCGATGAAATTAAACACTTAAAGTATGTGGATCAAACCAAAAGAACTATATATTCCTTCAGCATTTTGGTAAGTTTCTTGAATATAAAATTGGTACATATTTGTATTTCATATATTTGTTTAGAGGTTTGAAGGAATGTCTAAAAATATACATTTAAATGTAATTTACACAAGATTCAATGAACCAAAGAAACTCTATATATTATCTAAAGCAATATTAAATTATCAAGAATTATTGCCTCGTACTAAATCGCAATCTTCACGCTGATTCACACATGGTCTGCAAATATAAATTAGAATATAAAAAACAGCTTTCAATATATCAAATTAATGTAGAAATAATACTGATATTTATAATAAGTATAAATAAAAAAATTTTATCTTAAATTATATATACACATATATAAATGTATACATGTTATGTACGAGAGAATAAAATAAATCTGTTTGAAATGACATACGAGTATAATACATATTCTATTTACAAGCACTGTGGGACTACGAATAGCATCCATTGCCTTTGATTGTACTGCATACTTAATCATTTTATAAGTTGAATAAACACATAATGTTTTCAACTTATGTTAAATAATCAATATATACCATAGAATATTTAACATAAAGTTATATTCTTATTATAGTTACTTAATACCTTAAACCGGTACCGGTTATTACCAGAACTAATTGATAAAAATTTTAAAACCCAGGCAACTATTGGGTTGATATTAATGTCTTTAATAATTGTATGTTTTATGTTCCACAGTAGTTGTTGTTGTGTAGCCCGTGAGAATATTTATAGCAGGATTACATGAAAAGAATTACAAAGTCGAAGACGAAGACATGTGTGAGGCTGTGGACAGGTATTGGTAATGTAAGAGGGTAGGATATTAGTTAGAAGTAATAATGGATTGAAGATGGGCCTGGGATATAAATTAAAGTCAGCCACTATCAAGACGGAAAAATCTTATTGGTCCAAAGACAGATTAGACTCCAGTTTGTGTGTGTATTGGGACAGGAAAACAGAAAGACGACATCATGGGGGAATAGACTCATTTATGCGTCATAAGTAACTGTTCAACACATGGCTATATCATAATCTCAATTAAGCTAGGAAACGGCTGGCTGTACGAGAAAAGCATTATTTTCACAAATGCAACCCTGGTCACGAAGAGAATATCGCACTTGTGTAGAGGGGTAATAGAGCATATTTACAGCATATTAGTAACACGATTTGTATTATTGTAAAAATTAATTTTAATATTAATTGTATTCACTAACCTGTGAAATTAAATGAGATATAATCTTTCAATAATTCATCACCACAAAAAAATCATATGACAAACTAAAGAATCAAACAAGTGTTATGTCACTGTCCGGTTTTCTTCTAACAAAGACTTGATTCATTGAAACATTTCTAAGTTGAAAGTTGGATATGATATACTAAGTAAAATTAAAATTTTAACCATATGATTTTCCCAGATAATTAAGGAAAATACATGAATCCCTTTATGGTATCAACGCAAGGTTCAAGTGGCATGTGTAAATTCCATATTGCATATGTTGTGATTTCCACTTTGAAGACAGTAGATATATGTGTTAATAGTTTCAGGGAAACATGAACCGATACCTCAAGAGAGATATTTATGGAGACGTTAAAGCTCTCTAAAGTGTCTACTTTTGCATTCCTTTCGGTGCTACCATGATCATACACGAATAGTCGAACAGAATAATTAAGATCTGTGAATGGCGAATATATATCTGCACCTACCCCTCAGTCTATTTTTGAGCAGATCCGCCTTTGCAAACTAAGATATCATAATTCTTTCTTTTTAATATGACTAAGTTTCAATAGACCACATGGATACCTAAATCAAAGACATAGTTATTAGCGTGGTATCACTGAAAGCAACTTTCAGTTAATAAATGAATTGCCAAAAATAGCTTATTAAAGCTTATTACATTTAAGATCGTATGTTCCTACTGTGTTTCATTTATTTGTATAAAAAAATAATGCAATGATACTTTTAACCAGTAAGCATACCCTATCTATAGTGGCTTTTTGTTACGAATAGGATCTACGGGAACTAATATATGTATATACCCTAACTATAAACCTTGATATAACCAAAAGTTCCATTAGATTACTTCAATTTAAAATGTGGTATTAGATTTTGCCCTCTTTACAGTTGTACACATACGGTCCTATTGATATTTCATTCAATCGATACTGTGGTGTCAAATCAGAACCACTTTTCAGTCTGTCCACTCGACTCAGAAAAATACTCTGAAACCATTAAGTGGACATA